TTCTGAAGGAGGCAATATTATGGGTTTAATACAAGCTTGTTAACCAAAAGTTAGCAACCATATTCCTGTTTGAACAGTTACAAGCAACAACAGCAGCAAACTAAGCAGCAAACCATTGCAAAGCCTTTCCAAAACCTCTCCGGGCTGGGTTTTTGACTGGCTGCAATTTAAGCGAGGTCTGAACGAGGTACAAACGAGGTCCAAATAAGGTCCGAAATTAAATTTTGGGAAATTAATTCCCTAAGTTTCCTGACATACTCTTTGGTAGCCACATGCTTTCGCATTCTTGTCAGAACAATAAAACTCAAGAGCTTTCAGCGGTGGAGAAGAAAAGGAAACCAAGCCAAGAAGCTGCAGGCAAGAGCAAAAGGAAACAGAAAAGGAGACAAAGGGCGAATAAGGAAAACAGAGCGAAAACAAAGGGATCGTAATAGCCAGGTATATACCGTATACCTATGCGAAATACCAAAAAATATATCAATAAATTAAATTTATAGGTATTGCCCATGTAGGGTTTCTTCCCATTCCCCATAGGTACACCATAATTTAGCACAAAATCTTATCATCGACACTTATTATAAAACATCGAGCCAACTCCCAAATTTAAACCCATTAGTACCAAATAGCAGGCACACTAATGTTACCACAAGATCTAGCATACAACATAAAATAATTAAAACACCCAAAATCACATATTTTTTTTATTCAAATATACCACTACATTTAAATATCACAAATATTAAACCAAATATATTTATAATAAAAAATATATCTATAATAACCAATATATCCCTATATTATATATCCTTTAATAAACAAACAAACAACAAGAAAATTTATAACTACAAATAGTAAATTCATGTAAATAAAATTCAGTGTGTCTATGTGTTTTATACTTTTATATTAAACAATAATCCAATAAAATAATAATATTATGTATATCCTTTATATATATTTTCCCATAATATATCAACCTAAAACAATTTCAAAAAAGCCAAAACAAAAAACAACATAAATCCGATAATAAATATATTTTTTAATTTCAAAATTAAATATTTTTTTTTTTTAATAATATAATTAACATATTATTAAAATTTAATTTTTAAAATAAAATTTAATAATAAATTAAATTTATTAATATAAAAAATTAAAAAAATCAAATAAATTATATTATTATATATATATATACAAATATCGATATAAAAATCCAATAAATCGAAGAAATATAAAAATAAATATCGGAAATTATGTAAATTTTTTATAATATAATTATATAATATATATATTTATTTATTTGTAATTTATCAATATTCATATATTTATATATTTTTTAATTAAATTTATGAGATATTATTGGTACAATCTGCAAATTCAGAAAGCTGTGGCGCCACATCCACCAGCCCTCCAGCCTTGGAATCTGCAATGATTTAGGGGTACATCCCAGCCAGTAAGTTGTAAGTAACCTGTGTAAAAAATAAGGTGTGTCCCATTTATTCGACGATTTTTAGATATAGTTATTAGCCACTGACTACTTGGGATGTTGAAGCCATGCCAACAGGGAATGCATGCCTAAAACTACCAGCTATTCTGATGCAGGAGGCGAGAAGTGTAGGCATTGATCCATGAGCAGGTAGCAATGGTCCATGGTTGATGATCATCTTCTCTAGTAAACTACAATTTAGGAGTATAGGTTGAGTATAGTATACAGCGCATGATTTTCGCAGACACAAATGCCATAAATACAATGTTGATGATTGTATCCCCATTCATATCGCCATCATGGTTGGTTTGGCGCCAATGTTGCTGCTTACATCACCATGAGTTCATGGTCTATTTTCCTCACACATTTTTATGAATGATACACACAGGTTATTTAACATAGCAATGGAAAATTGTCCATATATTTGAGATGATTTATGATGATTTACACATGGAAGAAAATGATTTTCCATGGCTACTTTAAATCAGCAAAGGGTACACCGGGTCCTTTTACCGTGGAAGTCAGGATGGAAAAACCTGTCGGTTTACATGGAAGTCGTTTACGTCCAATTCCTGGGGAAAAAGTGAAACTGGGCTACCGGGCCAGCAAATGCAGAAAAACTGACCGTGAATCTCTTACATGGAAGTAGCTCATCAGATATGTCAGTAACATATTCATCATGGAAGTGTGAAAACTGAGACTAAAAACCCTTACGTGGAAGTAACTTGAGGGTCCAGACATCAGGTTGGCAACTTCTATGTTAACATGTTCTCCCCTCATGTTGAATACATCCTTCTAGGGCGATCCCTAAAACCCCCAGACTGACCGCCACATCATTTTTTTCTTCCATCTATCTTATCACCCCTGTCATGTCCGAGCGATTGAGGATGCAACCTTTCGAAATCAATGGTGCCAAATTGGTGCTCGCTAACATGGCACTGCCCACATCCTACTTCAAGTAGCAAATTTCTATGTAAGTTATCCGTTCCAATCGTTGGTTGTTAAAAAATGGAGGCATTCCCAGCTTTATCTTGAAAAATTCAAAATTTCTACGTTAATCAACAAATGCCCAGGATTCCCGGGGAACTCGTGGCAAAAAGAACTAGCCAAAAAAAAAAGGGCTCAGATCCAAAGAACACAAATTTGCAGTTTACCCCCCCCTTGCAACTAACATGGAAGTAAACCTCCGAATTGTCACTTTAGTTAACGTGGAAGATTTTTTTTGCACTACGGTAAAAGGAGGACCGAGCGCTCGCTAACATGGCACTGCCCACATCCTACTTCAAGTAGCAAATTTCTATGTAAGTTATCCGTTCCAATCGTTGGTTGTTAAAAAATGGAGGCATTCCCAGCTTTATCTTGAAAAAATCAAAATTTATCAAAATTTCTACGTTAATCAACAAATGCCCAGGATTCCCGGGGAACTCGTGGCAAAAAGAACTAGCCAAAAAAAAAAGGCCTCAGATCCAAAGAACACAAATTTGCAGTTTACCCCCCCCATTGCAACTAACATGGAAGTAAACCTCCGAATTGTCACTTTAGTTAACGTGGAAGATTTTTTTTTCACTACTGTAAAAGGAGGACCGAGCGCTCCCTAACATGGCACTGCCCACATCCTACTTCAAGTAGCAAATTTCTATGTAAGTTATCCGTTCCAATCGTTGGTTGTTAAAAAATGGAGGCATTCCCAGCTTTATCTTGAAAAAATCAAAATTTCTACGTTAATCAACAAATGCCCAGGATTCCCGGGGAACTCGTGGCAAAAAGAACTAGCCAAAAAAAAAAGGGCTCAGATCCAAAGAACACAAATTTGCAGTTTACCCCCCCATTGCAACTAACATGGAAGTAAACCTCCGAATTGTCACTTTAGTTAACGTGGAAGATTTTTTTTTCACTACGGTAAAAGGAGGACCGAGCGCTCGCTAACATGGCACTGCCCACATCCTACTTCAAGTAGCAAATTTCTATGTAAGTTATCCGTTCCAATCGTTGGTTGTTAAAAAATGGAGGCATTCCCAGCTTTATCTTGAAAAATTCAAAATTTCTACGTTAATCAACAAATGCCCAGGATTCCCGGGGAACTCGTGGCAAAAAGAACTAGCCAAAAAAAAAAGGGCTCAGATCCAAAGAACACAAATTTGCAGTTTACCCCCCCATTGCAACTAACATGGAAGTAAACCTCCGAATTGTCACTTTAGTTAACGTGGAAGATTTTTTTTGCACTACGGTAAAAGGAGGACCGAGCGCTCGCTAACATGGCACTGCCCACATCCTACTTCAAGTAGCAAATTTCTATGTAAGTTATCCGTTCCAATCGTTGGTTGTCAAAAAATGGAGGCATTCCCAGCTTTATCTTGAAAAAAAACAAAATTTCTACGTTAATCAACAAATGCCCAGGATTCCCAGGGAACTCGTGGCAAAAAGAACTAGCCAAAAAAACAAAAAGGGCTCAGATCCAAAGAACACAAATTTGCAGTTTACCCCCCCCCATTGCAACTAACATGGAAGTAAACCTCCGAATTGTCACTTTAGTTAACGTGGAAGATTTTTTTTTTGCACTACGGTAAAAGGAGGGGGAGTATGGATTCATGATGTCAACACCGGGATGTTCCAAGCCCGTGACTCGCTTGTGCTTCTGCCAGCAACGACAGTGCCCCAGCGCTGACTCCTGAAGTGCCTGGTGTCAGGGCCCCGAAGCCACGTGGACGTTGAATCCCAAGATGGATCAAGGATGGTCAAGGTGGGTCATATCTCCAAATATCGATTGAAACATGGGTGTTCTACCAATAAATCACATAAAATCATCAGATATCATCAGATATCACTAGTAAGTTGTCACCCCAAACAACAGGAACCTCACCAAAGAAATATCACTGGCAACTTAGAAATCTGCAAGATTCAATCTTCATCTTCACCCACTTTCCCACCTGTGCCACCAGGCATTCCACTGACCATCGGAAAGGACTGCTGCACTCCCATATGGGCCGGTGCCACGGTCGTAACTCCCATCGGCACTGCATGCTGCGTCCCAGTAGCCTGCGGCACTGTGATGGGATACGACGCCGTGTATGCCCCATACGTTGCAGTCACCGGCTGACTCGGCTGGCCCCTGGCCGGAATGGGCAGCTGAGCCCCCAGGCACCGTGCTGGAGCGAACTGTGGGGTGCTGGGCAGCACCCCAGGGAGCGAGGCGCTTGGTATCGGCCGCGCGTGGCTAGGGAGGACTTTGGCACTGGGGGAGCCAATGGGTGATGCTGGTGTGATGGTCAGCACGGATTGAGGCGACCTGGGCCCGTGGGAGCTGGAAGGTCAGATATGTGAGTGCCCCTGAAGTTTGTCAATGACATGATTTGACTGGGGCTACGGCTAGGGATGATTCCGTGTGAGTATATGGCGCGATATGGGTATCCGTCTGTATCAAATAACTACTGTGATTAATGGACATACATTTAGCTGGTGCATGCGAAAAAGTAGAAAGGCTGCTCTAAAATGAAGTGCGCTTAAGTTATCTCTCCGATATTTCCTGGTCTTGGGGCGGGGAAGAAGCACCAAGCGGCCCTACAAACGAATTGAATGCAGCCAATCATCAGGTTGGATGTACATACACAACATGTGTGTGTATATATATATATACACACTTACTTAATACATACATGATTTTATAGGTACATATGCGCACACAGGATTTCAGACTTGTACTACGATGCCACCCCAGGTTTTTGTTACTAAAGCCATCATGTGTGATGATTGCATCCCATTTTGTTGGTCAAATCTCAATCAAAGTAATTTTTTGTTGTACACACATCAAACCATCATTTTTTGCCAACAGAAAACTGGAACGCAACAATTCAATTGGTTGGTCGCGTTTTATGTTTTTTTAGAGACCAGCGCCTCTTCTTGGTGGTCAAGGGACGCCGGTTCGCAGCTTGCAACTGGAATGGAGCTCGCCGACACAGGCGCCACGGGCCGGCTGGGTGCAGTGGCCACGTGAGTGACCTGGCAAACATAAACGTGGCTGGGAAATTCGGTTGGAATGGAGCTCTTAATGGGAAACTCATCTATGTACTCATCTATAAATAGGGAATCACCCGTTGCCATGTTTGATTACTGCAATGTAAGTTTAAATATATATATATAATATATATATGTGTATATATATAGTGTATATATATATATATAACTTGGAAAGCGCAACTTTTGGTAATCAACGTGTGGTGCAAGCACCAAAAGTAGCCTTCGAACTTGATTGCAACCGTGAGAGAATCATTTGAAAAAAGATCTAAACTTAACTTAACCCAAAAAGATCAGACATTTTGGCTCCAATCCAAGACATGAGAAGAACCCAGGTGATGAAGAACCAATCCACTAAGCGAATGATAGCGATGCATTCCCATAGTTTTCAACAAAGAAAACGCCGTCTGTTTTGAACATGTGGAACATGAGACCCTGAATCACCGCTCATTTTTCATCAGTTTCGGCATCGTTGAAGTTCCAATTCTTGGGATACCCAGTTGGGAGCTACTGGATCTATGAACCGATTGGTGCCAATTTACAAGTGGATAAAAGTGGTATGAAAGATTGTATTCGAGATATCATCTCCACAGCTCAGGATGGTTAAACCATCTTAAATTAAACATCCATTTTTCGAGGTAAATTCACATGCACCGTTTTCATCCATTTTCCATGGTGTTCATGGTTTCATCCCCATTTCCCATAGTCATGGTTATTTATCTACTTTTGATGGTTAAATCACCATGTTTCGTGGTGTTGATGGTGTTGATGCCTTGTTAACCTTAAGGGGAATGGGGGGATCCCCTCCTTGCCTGCGGCTGCAAGCCGCCCGCGGGAGCCTTGCGGCGAATCGCTGACTCAGAGGACCTGGTGAGCCACTGGTGAGAAGTGCTTGGGTCACCGGTGAAATCTATGAGGAAATTTGAAATATGTAGGACCACGTGTGTGTGTATCTACATTGATATATATATATATAATATTCTAATTAAATATAATAGGTTGTTTAATTTTGGAACAAAACAAAAACATGGGATACATTTGGGGGCTACAACATCTTGGCTACCCAGCGAACATGTTGATCTTGAATGAGTTTGAGTTGGGGATAGGGGGTTCCCCGGTAAATCTACCGCAGGACCAACCACATCAATCGTCTTCACATGGGTTGATTAGCCCAGTGGTAGAATATATTCATATATAAGCAGATCAAATATATCAAACTAAACGGAACGTAAATTCTAGCATATCTTCGATTTTGAAGTTCTTGGCAGGGACATATCCAAAAACAGAGATATGCCCGAAACCAAACACTCTCCCTCTCCAAAGCTTGTCGGCAAGTACTCACACACGTCGATCAAAGTCTATGATTTTGCAGATCTGGGTACTTTCTCATTGTTTTCCCCACCAAAACCCACTATATGAACATACAAAAGCTACTGTTTTTCCTCATTTTCCCATTAGAAACTTATCAAAGCTGCCATTTTTGTGCCTTGTTCCCCCCCAACTTCGCCAAGGCGGCTCGTTGAGCCGATGCCGCTCGCTGCCGGCGGCCATGGCCAAGGAGCTCTGGAGAGCGCTGGCGGGGTTCAGGCTCTTCAGCCAGCGGTCACCTGGAGTTTTTTTTCCTCCACCAAATTGGCTGGCTAAAAATGATTGTCCAACTAGTTCATCAATGCTTAATGATTAAATATTATTAAATCACCATTTGATGGAGGATTTAGGATTCACTCTGAGGGGGATGGGAAATGGGGCAATTGTTCTTAAGCAATCTTAAATTCTTAAACAGCTGAAACCCGTCTAATCCGACCTAGCAACAACAATTTTAGGAGCAGTTTAGGGAACCCCACAAGTTTTGACATGTTTTTTGCCAGGAAAACTAATGTCAGCCTAACTTTTGGATTAACACTTGGATTGTGCTTTACAATCTCTTGCCATCAAATTGGAAAATTCAACCGGCAGTAAGGCTGGAGGACCCAATCAACCATGGCGGGTGAACCGCCCAAAGTAGGCAGATCAAAAACTGCTTGGAGTTGGGGAACGGTCCCTGATTTCGCAGTGATGAACTCGTCCGGGAAAAAAAATCTGAATTTCGTACATGGAATATAGTCACAGTCCAAAAGCTTGCCTCACACCGGGAGATGACACCTCATATAATACTATATTGGGTGGCCACTGTCCTTGAATGGCAATGAATGGGCGTTGTTTTTTTGATTACCCGATGGGTCTGAGAATAGGGCAGTCCCTAACCATCCTTTAAGGACCCAAGAGTTCCACCTTGCTGTTGGCTCAGGTGCGCCGCCGCACTGCCATGCCTCTGGAACGGTGGAACTCCTTTCCTCTTTTGTAGAGCCCAATGATCTGCCAATCATTTGATCTTGTATTAAATAAGGGAAAAAAGGCTGGGTATAGCTATGTATAGCTATATCTGTCCGCATCGTTGGGAATGAATGGCCCCTAATGTTCCATTAACTTAATGACATACAAATATATATATATATATAGGGATATGTTGATGGCATTTGATGGGTGTACGTGGTAGGGCCTACCATTATGACGTCTTGAAGTAACACTTGGTGAATCATACACCATTCATTCGCAATTCTGAGGTAAAACTGTTTGAGGCTGCTGACAAGTGGGTTGTTTCCAAGAACGGGAGAAAAACATGTTACATCAGTGTATCATAGTAAATCCGAAAATGGGGGTTCCTCAACATGGGGGATCTGTGGATCCCCAAACCCATGGGTTTCATCAAAACTAAAACGATCTAATTTCTATGATTTGCGGGTGCCATATCCGAAATCGCAATTCTTTAAACAGGAACATGATGGTGAAGCAATAGATATGAGGGTTACTCCATGTTTCCCAGGTTGGGACCAATGTCAATGCTGTTTGACGATTTTAAGAGTTGGCCTGATGGCCGTGGTCAACGTTGGCTACTCAGTACCACGACCTGCTTCTGGTCACTGGGTCACACCATGGAAGTGGAAGATATTTGTGACATTTATGGTGCAGCGCCCCCAAAAGAGCTGATGGGGTGCAAGTTTTTAGACATGACCTGAGCTACGCTGAGTCCAGGACATACCCAGCATTCGCAACCTGAGTGTTCCAGCCAGTTGGTATGTTCATCGGTTCCCGATGTCATGCGCAACTGCTGCAAGGCTTTGGGAAGGGGTAGCCAGGAACTATTTTGGTGATCATGAGATGCTTGGTGATTCCAACCCTACAAAAATTACTGTATCCCCTGGCTTAATCTTATTTAATCTTCCCAGGTAGGAAAGGAAATTGATGCGGAAACATATGCTTTAGACACTCTCACAGCAGATTCCTTGCCTTACCAGCATCCGGAAGCCAAGCAACCCAGTCCCCCTGATGGGTTTCTGAACTTCATCCTTTTCCACGGTGACTTTCACCCTCAACAGGCCAATGATACCTGGAATCGAAGGAGAGCCACTTGGCTACTGAAGTCCGCAATCTTTTCTATGACCTCCCCATATTTTGAGTAGAACAATGGTCTAACGGTCCAACTCATAGCTATGTCATGTCCGTGAGTTCCACTGAGCCCCACGCCGTGCCCATCACTGGAGAGGGTCAAGTCCGAGTTGAAGCCAAAGGGAAAGAACTGGTGGCACCTGCTGCGCGACACTCAGCGGTGGCTATGCCATGCCGAGTTTGGGATTCAATAGGTGCAGTATCCGAGAATGGAACACCTTATACCTGTATGGTTTTCTGCAATTTGTTTCCCTTCATCCGAGTCTGGGATTCAACAAACCAGTAGCCAAACAGATGCTGACCTGTGAAAAAACATCAACAGAAAGAGTGACGGGTATGGATCCAACATAATTCGGTGGCATTGTCAACCTATACCAAAAATCCCATAGAGTGATTGTTGTCATCATCCCAAGCTAGAAGGAAACATCATCTATGTCCAAAGATGGTCTACCGTACCTTTAGATGGGAAACCATTGGCGGTTTGAACACACTAAGGATCATCACAAGTAGAATGGCTGACAACAAATTCACATTTGGGTGTTTCTCAAAATCTGGGTGATCCTTATCACCAATGGTTTTGCCGCTAGACATGAAAACTGTTTGGATGATTTTGCGGTTCCCCATTTAAAAACCCGCCATTTGAGTGAACACATGCAAAACATACCATGGTGACTGGATGGACCGTGAAATGTTTTCAACGGGTGAATGCATCACCTCAATTGGTGGTTGAGATGACACTTTGTTTGAACCCATCCAATACCTGTGCAGTCCCATTCTTCATTGGCTACATTCTTTTTTCGTTACGCAAATCCCATCAAATTACCGGTTCAATACCAAGTCCAATGAAATACTGGAAAGCATCGCGGAAACTTTTGCGGTGTTGCCAAAAACATGTGATAACACCATCTCAAATGGCAAACAAATCCAACTCTGTACAATATCATTGACAACGGTTCTATGGCACATAAATGTAGATATTGTATGTATACATATTCCCCTATCCACATCCATACGGAAACAATAATCAAAAGTTAAACCACCATTCACCAGTTGGTTTACTTAAATAAATCAGGTGCAGCCCGCCTCAAGGTGGCTGACCCCTCCAGGTTCGAGCCCTGCGATTCAACGGGTTCGATTGGCGGATGACTTTTCAAAGACCACCATTTTCCACAGGCATTACACCCATTCATCATGATCATGGGGCGGGAACTCTAATTCTTCAATGGCAATCCTACCATATATAACGCTTATGTAAGGAATATTTCTACAAAATATGGCCTGAGAAATGCTACAGTACCTCCATTTGAGGCTCCTGAATGGTGCTTGAAATTCTCATACTGGATCGGCTACGAAATGGACCTCAGCAGCGATGTGGAACTCCAAGTCATCCCCAGGGAAGTAGTCGTAGATTTCCCCTTCCATGTTCCACACCTGGCGTTGAGTCGCTGTGAACCTTGGTGAAGGGGGGTCATGTCTTACCCAGAGGAAGACGTGTTGAGATTGCATCATATGCACCATCTGGGTTTGCCCCCTAAATTCGATTTTCCTCTCACTTACTGGAAATTGACACATGAAACGCTCTTTCACCGAGGTTGACCCAATCTCACAACAACATAAACAGTTCTCTGACACAGGCAATCAAGTTGATTCCATCTGCAATGGCCCAGTCTTCAGAAGGGCTGGTACCGGGAACCGTTTGGTTTTACCCGAAAATACAAGAGTATACCTCCAATATTGTAGACATCTTTTAAAACGGAACATAACTGTTACTAACCAGTGGATTCGGGGGTAATACTAGATGCAAAAAAAACATGAACACCACCATTTCTACCCATTGTTTGTTCGATTGGGGGATTGCCCCTCGTGCTGGGTGCCAAGCAGTTTGATACCCAGCTTCAAAGGCGCTACCGGTTTGCAGATCGGCATGTCGGTGCCTCAGGACGATGATGCCGGAGATTGGCTTTGACCCATAGCATGGAAAAGTGGGATTCAGTCTCCAAGTTCGGGTATGTAAAGTCTTCCACCCAGTGGGTTGCACACCAGCAACATACATCCATTGAGCCTCTGACCCGGCCACAGCGCAAATGCAGGAGAAACATCGCCTCGTCAGCTAACCACGCCAAACGACCCGGGTTTGATCGCTATTTTGGACTTAACGTCGTTCAAATGATTTCTATGTTTCACCGATGCCTGCAACTTTCCGTAGCAGATTTGTTCTGGGCAGGGCATCTTGTGCATGATTGCAATATCCCGCCCTCTTTTCCGGACCCCGGGGCCCCAGAGCTCCTCGTTGCAAGATCCAAGCCATGCAGCCCCCGAAAGCTTTGAATCAGCACTTTCAACCTGCAGAAGCCAGCCCCATGCCGCTCGCGTGGAACAAAATTCAGGCCGCTGGTCCAACCAGCCAGGACCCCCAATTGGAGTTTGAGCCGCCCGGTGCCTACGTAACTGGTGATGCGTGTGGCCCAAGTCCAGGAAAACCTGCTAAATCATGCTAAATGTATGAAACAGTCGCCAGGATACTCAGCCAAGTGGTCAGCAAATCAACCACTGCGACCACGCTATGTCCATAGATATGGCACCGCGAATCCGATATGCTGCTCAGTTGTGGTCAAATCGACATGTTCACATTCTGCCTGCTGCACACCTTCTTGGTTCGACTGGTGCAGGTTCAGATAACGTACCATGTCTAGACCTCAAACCAAAAAATTGGGCACCCTTTCACAGCCAATTGACATTAGGATGCCTTCGGCACCCTGCCCAGCACTCGGTCAAAATGCCTGAACATGAGCCCCACAAGCGGAGGAGAACCAGTATACCACTGCTCTTCCGAAGTTGGTTGACATCAGCGTTGCTTGTTGGTGGCGTTGTTTGTTAAAGAGATCAAACTGACATTTGCCACTATTTGAGCGATTCTTTCCCATTGGCTTACTTTATAGCATGTATGATCACTTGTCACATCAAGAATGTCAGTTCTTCGTGTGGATGATATTTCGGTACCTTTACAAACTTTGGCACAACCGGGCCACCAAATTGATCTCTTTGACAAACATCTTGTAGTTTTGTTTTGTCGTACCTTTAAAAGTCAATGAAAGCAACTATGAATGAAATCAGATTGAAGTCTTACGCTGAAATTACTGAACAAGTGCATCTCAGAAACCTTGGGTGTGTGGTGACATGTGATTTTCACCTATGACTACTCCCTCAACTGGTGGAATTGAATAGATCATCGAGCCAACAGCAGGCAAACATCTTCCAAGGCGAAGAACCTTAGAGCCTTCAGCAGCATGGTAATGTCGTAAGCCCAACTATACGCCTTCCATTGGGGGAACCAATTATGGTAGTATTAAAGATGGTTTATGCTCATTGAGTTTACCACATTGTTCATCATCCATCTAAATTTCTTCACATCTCGCACTTGAACTTGCTTAGAAAAAGGGCAGCCAGAAACAGTTCCAGGAGACTGGCTTCCAAATTCCGTTTTTACTTGGGATCGTCTTGCCAGGACCAGAAAGCAAGGCAAGCAACCGGGTGATTCACTCCAATCCATGAGAAACGAAAAATACGGCCTTTTGACAACACAAAGTACTTGATGTAAGTTGATGTCCTCTGTCTGAATTTTTTTGGTGACATCCAAATGCTGTAACTGCCCCTACAAATAACAGCACCCATGCAGACTGGTCCCTGATCAGCCTGAATTCCCCTAATTTCCCGGGCAAAACTTCCAGAATATGTATCAAAAACACATCCCTTCACATCAATGTGAAGAAACACATTGCAAAATTACACATATAGATACAGGGTTTAAATTAAGATGGGCATGTAATATAGCGTAGATGGACATATGGTGACAGGCTAATGGTGACATACTGAATCCAATCAACTTTGACCCTCCCAGTCCCAGTAGAATGATTGGATCTACTACATGTTTGAGTAGACAGAACAATGACCAGTGAGTATCCATATCTTAGGTGTAAATTGATTGGTCTAGGCATACGGAAAAAGTCATATAGTTGCTATGTGTACAGGATATGTATTTATATACAGACTTCATTCTACTTCTCAGATTATTCCCAAGTATGTGGTTCCAAGAAAAAGATGATCAAGCCCTGACTCTCTCTATATAATAAATATGAAATATTTTATATTAATGAATATAATTCAGTATGATACGTGGGAGTACACGCAATTTGTAATCATATAGTTGCAGCTGCCACTTCAACTGTGGTATTACCATACAGGATGGTGCCCCCCAGTTATAAGTTGGTTTATAAACCCCATTAACTACAGTTATATCTACCATAAACCATAGTTATGGGAGTTATAAACCAACTTAGCTAACTATGGGGCACCACCTTGTAATCAACCTCACTATTACATCCTTACAACATGAATTCGTCAGATTCTGCAACCCATTGTTAGGCACCTTCTGGGCCTCATCTCTGCAGGGTGCGGGGCAGTCTTTGTGGCATCTCGGCTCAGATTGGATCCGGTGACCAGGCGCTGTGAAATTCTGGAACTAAATGGGCATCTACGTATATATGGTTGTTGATCAAAATTCCTTTATCCCGGAACGGCCATTCTTCGCGAATAAAAATTTTACTTTCGCGAAACTTTCGCGAACTCCATGTTTATCTTTCGCGGGGCCCATGTTGGCCAACAACACCTCTTATGAAGATTCGTTCACCGCCGGCCAAATTACGCCAGAGAATCAAGGATCACTTCTTGGTAGCCTTTTAAACATGCAGCTAGCATCACGGAGTCCCTTCTCAGGACAATTTTTTTTGCAAAGTTTACTGGCCCACCCCCTTCAACATGCACTTTGACTTTCGCCCGCTCTTTCGCATAACTTTCGCGGAACTTTCGCGAAAATATCCCTATTCACAGACCCCGGCCATCAGCAGGGGGTGCACTGAAGGAAAAGCGAAGACCAGGGGCCTTGGTGTTTGGCTCTCGCAAAGCCTCACTTTTGGAAACTTGGCTACTGCTACTCGCATTCTCTGGTGCCCTTTTCCTGCCGGACCCTGGGCGGCAGTGGGTGGCAGCCCTTTACATATAATGATTATAATACCCAACTTTCGCGAAACTTTCGCGAAATAAAATTTTACTTTCGCGAATTCGAAAAAAAACTTTCGCGAGGGTTTCCAACATAACATGCACGGCTTTCGCAATTAAAGCTCCTTACAAGGACCTTTAGATCGATCACCATATATATATATATATCTATCTATCTATCTATTTATCTATCTATCTATCTATCTATCTATATATTTATATTGGAACATCCTCGACATCCATGGGTAATTTTCCAGCAAGCCATGGAGCTGATTTCCGCATACAGCAGTTCCAAAACCAGGATATCCCGTGAGATCCAATTTTTCCGATCTCGTTGTGGCAAAAATCGGGTCGGGCGTTGTGAAAGATTTCCCCCAGCTCTGAAGCCTCAAATGATCGACCATTTTCTTTTTAAGGCCAAAGGACTGACTTTTCCAGGGATATGAACATGTATGTGGATTTTCAACTGCAAAGAGGGGCAAGCGCCGTGAAACGGTTTCATTGTAGATGACTAGCAAGAATCGCCACTTTGATGTTCCTGTAGGATGGGCTTCAGCCGTGCTCATGGCTAATGAGGGCTAATGAGCCTATGCATCCTATGCCACATTAGCTTGGGATTCTGCCGCGCTCCAGTACAACTTCCAAAAAACTCCTGCAACAACTTGCTTTTGTGGTTGCGGTGAAACATACGTTGATTCATCCCCAAAAGACCCTCCAACCCCGGGCCATGGGACTGGAGAGTGGCTCCAGTCTCTTTGCCGGTTCTTCCAAATATCCTCGGTAGCTGCAGAGAGGTTGTTGGTTCATGTTGCTACTGAAGGAATGTGAATTACCAAAACTCGGCAGAAAAAAACAGAATTCATTGTCTGGTTGGTGGTTAGCGGCCATACCGCAGGTGTCATTAGCCGCCAAAACGTATGGCGACATGATCTCAAAAGAAATCACATCAATGGAATGACCAAATGACACCAGCTCCGTATTTGCCAGTGAGTCAAGCTTCGTTGATGCGGATGCTCTTGCCGAGCCACCTCAGGCGATCTCTGAACCCCAAAAAATGTGGGTCCTTTGGTACCCCATCTCTGAACCATTTCCATAGTTGAAACATCTTGAAACAACACGAAATCACCAAGCAGTCTTGTGGTCAGAGTTAAGTTCTGAGCATCAAAACCAGCCAATCAGTTTGCTTCACAATAGGATCCATTCCAGAATGTCTTACACAGCTTCAATCAAGGATGCTAATATGGGAGCGATGACATAAGTCTTGACAGGGCACCAAAACCATGGCCAAAATCAATCCGTTCCCAGGTCCAGTGGTGGATGACTGGTCCTTTGGTTGCACCGATCCTCATGATTAAGGGAAGGAACATCTACAGGAAATCTCAAGAAATAAGAAATAGCTTCCAGTAGCACAGCAACAGTGGAAATAACATCACAATACTTATTCTTTTGACTTGCACTACATATTCATTTTTATTGTTGGAGTTAACATGATCAACTATAGCCTTTTATAGTTGTCATGTGCTATAAGTTCCTCTTTCTCCGCAATCATCTCCCACCAAACTGTCGTCGGGGCCCCTGGCCCGGCGCTTGTGACTGGAGGTCACCTCAAAAAAGGCCACGCGGCCGGGGATGGGGAGATGCGGAGCTGTGAATCGCTGTGACTGGACCGCTGGTCGTTTTGAGTGTTGAATTTTAGTGTCGAATATGACTCTTTTGCATCCATTTTTGGGCTTAATCATGTCGAACATTGTCGAACCATACGCACATGTCGAACTGTTTCTTGCTGATGAATCATGAGGAGCATATTCGAATGCGGAAAATAAAGGAATGGATGGCTACCACTTGTTGATGGTAGTATAGCCAAGGGCAATCCTTCCGTGAAATCTCTTGTGCACCACAAATAGCATTATTCATTTCGAGCAATGACCATGAAATCGAAGGACGAATCCCACAGATGAATTTTAAGACTGAATTCCTTAGCTCAACAAACATCATCAATACCAACCTGTTGATCAACAATCCAAACAATGGTGACTCCTCAGCTAAGTAATCTGCTTAGCTAGCAGGGACCATGATGAATCCATATGGGGATGATCCCTGAGTTGTTTTTGTTGGGATATGATTGCATATACTCTACTTACTAACTGTACTAGAGGAGAAAAAGCACTCTGGCCGGACTCGTTTTTCAAGTTTTGAACATATCTTTGCTGATTCTATAGAGTATTTCTTGCCAAAAATGTGGATCTGTCACCATCTTGGCCGGGTGATTAAAACATGTTAGAATATATTCGAACAATTTCGAACATATTATGTATACGCTCAAAAAATGGCCAACAAAGAAATCAACACCACACAAACAAGATCAACCTTCCGAAGTGTTCCCCCAGTCATTTCCCAGGTTTTTCCATCTTAAAGGGCCACGCCTTCACTGAGAGGGTGGCCTCATCCTGGTCCGTCGCTCCATCGACACGGTGAACAACAGAGTACCAGGATGTACCAAGGGTTGGCACATGCTCATATTGAGTACCCTCTGGTAAATTAACATGACTAAGGAAAATCACCATTTTGAATGGGTAAATCAACTATAAATGGCCATTTGCAATAGCAAACTGTTAGTTTACCAGAGAGTACAACACGGATATTCAACGAACGCTGCGTCATATGTTTGGTAAAACATGGTGAAACGATCATCCCATGATTTCTGGGTGATGTCCACCACCCGGTAGCGGAGCACAAAAATTGGCCTCCGCCCCTTCCAGCAGAATCTCTCGCTCCAAGCCTCAGCTGTGGATAGTTTGGCTGGAACTATATCAGGTTGCTAGGCATCTTCATCCAGAAACAAAACTTGCATGACCTATAGGTCCTATAGGTCATGTCAAAATATGGTGGGATGGAAACCCATGGGTTTCCGCAAGAAAATGGCCTGGCCAAGGATTGTGGGCGTTGAAAATATCTGGTGAATTTCACTGGCAGGTAACGTTTATGGAAGTTCATGCAGAAGTTGTCTTAGCATCTTTGCAGTCAGAATATTCATCGGTCCATTTTTGCAGATCTGGTTTGACCCCTGGACGATTGGGGTCAAAAGCCTGAAACCTGTTGTTTACACTCATGCATGAAACATTGAAATGGAGAAGCCGACGCTGTAAGATAAGATGGGACAAGATCATCTCGACAAAAAGATAAGAACCAAACAAATACAGATAAATGGATTACAAAATTGATATGGGAATACAGATAGATATAGATACACAAATGTTTTCAACATATTACACACATATTTCCACCCATCCCCCATCCTAGCGCCCAGCTGTCCGCTCTCAGATCCTCGGCTTCTAGGGTGGCCTTGGTAAAAGCATCGGAGCTCATAGCCACGCTTTGTCCACCCATATAAAGAATAATACACAGTAAATATATAGTTATATAGGTTATCAATCCCTAGCCATGGTCCAATGGTTATCACATGTTATCGCCTTCTACAATATCTATCCTCGGGAATTTTTTTATCAGCTTGAACTGGCTTGAACTTGAAAGCACCCGTGGTGGTAATTTAACACACTTTAGGACCTAGACGTGATCACCATTGAATTTGTTCCTTGGGCCTGAAAAACTTTGATCCATACTCCACAGCACCGGCTCATGAGGCCCGGGCGATTCCCAGTAGGCTATCATGCTTTGGCCACACCTCCTGTCGCGTGGGGCGTGGCATCATGGTGACATTGCTGGGGAGTCAAAGAGATATTTGGCCTATCATGATTCATGACCATACAACTTATGGATTCATGGGGAAATGTGGGGATAGGTATGAACATCAAATATGCATATCACACATGCACTTCTGTATGCACATAATCACACAGTGTAATGTATGTTTGATGGAAATGTTGTGGGCCGTATTAAGCTATCATGGCCCCTTTCTGGTGAATTTGATATCACACAATATCCGTGCCACTCGTCAGTGAAGTAAATCAAACTGGAGATTCCATACAGGGTTATGATTTAAATAGTAATAACTGGTGGCATAATTACCATTATGTTATACAATGTCCATACCATTATGAATATCCGAATTTCCATAGTGGTCCATGGATGTTTGAATGAAACAAACTGGCCTAGTTGACTGGTTGAAGCATCCCGAAACGATCAATCCTTGGGGATCATCATCCCATGTCTATGGTAAACAAGGAACGAAACCACCAACCAATTGTTGGTCAATATCCCTAGGTGGTGGCTCAATCCCCATAGAGAATCATAGAGAACCAGATTGCTCTTGGTAAAGCCGGCGTTTTTCACCACACAAATCATCACCGCCCCTTCGGCCTTGCGGAAGACGCAGAACACCATGGGCTCGACGCCGTCGTAGTCGAAGGCCACCGTCTTCTGCCATACCTTTGATCGGATTCCATCAGAACCCATAGAATTGGATGTCAAGCTGCGCAGAGCGCTCCTTGTGGAACGTTGTGGAACTAATCTAGTCGCTCAAGCATCAAATGCTGTGGATAACAAGTATCTAACTATCTGAAGATTTAACTTGCAAGCAGGTCCCAAAGAGAGCAAAAACAACAATTGTTGATATACTTACACACACACATATATATATATATTCTATATACATATATATATATATGTTTAAGACTTATAGATGATCATAGATGTACATTACATAAGCCATAAGACCATCGCCGCTTTTTGCTGGTTATACACCCGTTGGTTGCATCCCCCATGAGCCCCCTGCAGGATCAATGGAGTCGTTCACCACATGACTGCGGCCGGAGAAACGCAAGTCGCCTCCAGAAACGTATGGACGACCCAAGCTGGTAGTCTAGCCAACTTGGAAACTGAGGATGAAAACATGAGATGATTTAGGCGTTTAACCAACAAACATGTACACAACATGGGGTGTTGAATCCCTACCATCACCACTTTGCCTAATGATAGTTTATTACCAAATTAACATCCCCCCCGAAAGAATATCTGCACCTGCCATTTCCTCTAAATGATGTTCGAGATTTTGGATCATCTCGTCAACTCCTCCCCGCCACGAACCCTATAGCCACTTGGTTTAAACCAGGTCTTAAACCAACACCAAAGCAGCCCAGCCTGATCAGCTGGCTTTCATAACCAAGAGGCTGAAGGAGATGGGGGGAAAGAACATGACAGAACCACACATATAATATATATATATATATATACTGGTTGGTGGTATACCTACCCCTCTGAAAAATATGACGTCGTCAGTTGGGATTATATATTCTTCCCAATCTATGGAAAAATAAAAGCCATGTTCCAAACCACCTACCAGCATATGTATATACACATAAAGAGCGACCATCAGCCCTTCACTTCCCCTTTGCAATCCTGAAACTATTAGAATGCGCACGTGCCCAAAACAGTGCCGCAAGCATGCCCAACATCGCTCACTATTCCTCAGGCAGCACAGAACCATCCACTACGGACGCCGCTACTGTTGAGGTCATGATATCTGACGGCCAACACTGGTACAACCTCAGTCATTCTGCCGGACTGCTTCAGTGACAACCTCATTGTCATTCTGGAGTGTCTCACATGCAAATTCCAGCGCCTCGCCATCCCATGACGTACTTTGTTGCGGCCGGCCGAGTTTTTCATACCTTGTTGCGAAGTTAATGCATTTGAGGAACTGTGATTTTAGTTCTTACGAAGGTATGCTACTTGAACCGCCCTTCATCCGAAGACTTTTGGGTGTATTGATGCTGCTCGGATGACTTCTCTCCAGTAGGGAACTGGCAGCACTGGACGACAATTTTCTTGGCAGAAGCACAGTTCGTTTCGTGGTGCAACTGATGTACAGCGCAAGTACAGCCAAGGGATCTGGAGTCTAGAAGGTATCCAGAGAATGCGAGTCCAACGGATATACCTGATATACCTTTGGTTTCAACTTGTCAACGAGGTGTATCTCCCTCTTTAGGCTTTTCTGCGACCTTCGATTTGGAACTGCCACCTTCAAGGCAACATGGATGGTCCTTGCCGTTTCTGGCTTGCCACACCGTGCCAAACCTCCTTTGCCCAGCAGAAGATCGGACCGCAGATTCAAGAGTATAGGGCTGCCCTTCTCCTCCATTTCGAACACCATGTCCTTTTCACCTCTGCACTTCCATGGAGCAGGGCCCCACTCTCCATCTCAAACAAGCGTTATGGCTGTTATGGTATTTGACCAGGCAGTGTAACCCTCTCCTTCTGCGAAATTCCTGCAGATTCTTCTGAATCTTTGGCCACTCAACTTCTGCACAAATCTCGGGCCAGGTCTCCAGACTTGCACGGAGACGCTCACGGGACTGGACCTGCCCATCGATGCCAAGCACGTGGACTTTGAAGAGGATCGTCTTCGGCATGGCTGCCCTCGTCATCTAGTCGGAAAAAAAGGAACACTCTTGGGATGTATACATTTTCTTTTTGGGATGTTTTCCTTTTCTTTTTGGGATATATTCCTTTTCTTTTTTGGCAGGTGCAAAGCTCTGTGCGACTTCTTTTCTCCAGATGCTTGCAGCCTGCTTTCTCAGCACCGGAGCTTTCCGATAGCTGCAAGCATTTGCGTGGCCGAGGAAGACATGGGGATCAATGGAACAGTTTTCAGAAAGGAACAGAAAGGGGCCGCGCTAAGTGCGATGCTTCATTGCCCAATATAAATTTCAATCGTTTTTGATGGTTCACGTTCACATATTAATATATATATATATACACGTAAATATACCCATTCCCAATGTACCCATTAAAATCCCATGAATAGCTCATTAATATCCCAAGAAGAAGCATCATCTGGTGCGCAACTCGCCCGCCTTTCACCTCACAGGTGCAGTAGGATGCACACCTGCCAAGACATCTGTGGTAGTTGTGCTGTGGGTCCACCAACTGATGGGGATGGTCGATGATGGTTATTTAACATAGCATCATGGTTATAATAAAGCTGGTCCACCGATGATCTATAATATATAATATAATATATATATATATACACCCTATAGTTATTTAACATAGCCATGGAAAAAGGATGAACATGGCCCATAGAAATAGATGGTTTACCTATTAAAAATGGGTGGATCTTTCCATGGCTATGTTAAATAACCAGATGGTATATATATATATATTGATGATGAGTTGGAGGAACAGTTGCTGCGCTGACTTCAGTAGATGACGCACGATCATTACGATCCTATGATCAACTACATATGATCCTATACATTGCATGACGTTCAAGTTCACGCTCTATGAATGGCCATTTCAGGATCCTAAATTGGAGGTACCTAGCATATATAAGGCCTATGTAAGGCCTATGTAAGGGGATATCCCAACAAAATATGGCCTTATCCGCCGACCCCGGCAGACGCAAGGGGGAGCGCGCCAGGGAATAAGACAAGCAAAGACAAGCAAGTTTAGCCGCACTAGCAGCAAGAGCAGCGGCAGCAGCAGCGGCAGCAGCAGCAGCAGCAGCAGAAGCGATAGCATGCTGCTGAGTTTTTGTGCACCAGCTTCCCGGAACTCTTGTGGGTCGGCCATGTAGGAATGCATGGCAGCAGCAGGCAGCAGCAGGCAGCAGCAGGCAGCAGCAGACACCAGCAGAGGCAGCAGCAGGCAGCAGCAAGCAGCAGCAGGCAGCGGCAGGCAGCGGCAAAGCAGCAGCACCACAGCAGCAGCAGCAGCCACCAGCAGCAGCACCAGCAGCAGGCAGCAGCAGGGAGCAGCAGGCAGGCAGCAGCAGGCAGCAGCAGGTAGCAGCAGGCAGCAGCAGGCAGCAGCAGGCAGCGGCAGGCAGCGGCAGGCAGCGGCAAAGTTGCAATTTTATTTATATAGTAGGGTTTCAGAAGTGACGTTAGGCCCTTTTTTGGGGTTCCTTTGCTACGTTTTGGGTACGAAATTAGGTGGTGCTTTGCTGTTTCGGATGTGCAGCAAGGAGCAGCAGGCAGCAGCAGGTAGCAGCAGGCAGCAGCAGGCAGCAGCAGGCAGCAGCAGGCAGCAGCAGACACCAGCAGAGGCAGCAGCAGGCAGCGGCAGGCAGCGGCAGGCAGCGGCAGGCAGCGGCAAAGTTGCAATTTTAAGTAGGGTTTCAGAAGTGACGTTAGGCTCTTTTTTGGGGTTCCTTTGCTACGTTTTGGGTACGAAATTAGGTGGTGTTTTGCTGTTTCGGATGTGTTTCGAAAAGGGTGTCTGGCTGTTTGTTTCTTGCTTTGGCGGCTGTTTGATTGCAGCAGCACCACAGCAGCAGCAGCAGCCACCAGCAGCAGCAACCAGCAGCAGCACCAGCAGCAGGCAGCAGCAGGGAGCAGCAGGCAGGCAGCCGCAGGCAGCCGCAGGCAGCTGCAGGCAGCAGCAGGCAGCAGCAGGCAGCAGCAAACACCAGCAGAGGCAGCAGCAGGCAGCGGCACAGCAGACACCAGCAGAGGCAGCAGCAGGCAGCAGCAAGCAGCAGCAGGCAGCGGCAAAGTTGCAATTTTATAGTAGGGTTTCAGAAGTGACGTTAGGCCCTTTTTTGGGGTTCCTTTGCTACGTTTTGGGCACGAAATTAGGTGGTGTTTTGCTGTTTCGGATGTGTTTCGAAAAGGGTGTCTGGCTGTTTGTTTCTTGCTTTGGAGGCTGTTTGATTGCAGAAGCACCACAGCAGTAGCAGCAGCCACCAGCAGCAGCACCAGCAGCAGGCAGCAGCAGGGAGCAGCAGGCAGGCAGCAGCAGGCAGCAGCAGGTAGCAGCAGGCAGCAGCAGTCAGCAGCAGACACCAGCAGAGGCAGCAGCAGGCAGCAGCAGGCAGCGGCAGACAGCGGCAGGCAGCGGCAAAGTTGCAATTTTATTTATAGTAGGGTTTCAGAAGTGACGTTAGGCCCTTTTTTGGGGTTCCTTTGCTACGTTTTGGGTACGAAATTAGGTGGTGTTTTGCTGTTTCGGATGTGCAGCAAGGAGCAGCAGGCAGGCAGCAGCAGGCAGCAGCAGGTAGCAGCAGGTAGCAGCAGGCAACAGCAGGCAGCAGCAGGCAGCAGCAGGCAGCAGCAGACACCAGCAGAGGCAGCAGCAGGCAGCAGCAGGCAGCGGCAGGCAGCGGCAGGCAGCGGCAGGCAGCGGCAAAGTTGCAATTTTAAGTAGGGTTTCAGAAGTGACGTTAGGCCCTTTTTTGGGGTTCCTTTGCTACGTTTTGGGTACGAAATTAGGTGGTGTTTTGCTGTTTCGGATGTGTTTCGAAAAGGATGTCTGGCTGTTTGTTTCTTGCTTTGGAGGCTGTTTGATTGCAGCAGCACCACAGCAGCACCACAGCAGCAGCAGCAGCCACCAGCAGCAGCACCAGCAGCAGGCAGCAGCAGGGAGCAGCAGGCAGGCAGCCGCAGGCAGCCGCAGGCAGCAGCAGAGGCAGCAGCAGACAGCAGCAGGCAGCGGCAAAGTTGCAATTTTATTTATAGTAGGGTTTCAGAAGTGACGTTAGGCCCTTTTTTGGGGTTCCTTTGCTACGTTTTGGGTACGAAATTAGGTGGTGTTTTGCTGTTTCGGATGTGTTTCGAAAAGGGTGTCTGGCTGTTTGTTTCTTGCTTTGGAGGCTGTTTGATTGCAGCAGCACCACAGCAGCACCACAGCAGCAGCAGCAGCCACCAGCAGCAGCACCAGCAGCAGGCAGCAGCAGGGAGCAGCAGGCAGCAGGCAGCAGCGCAGGCAGCCGCAGGCAGCCGCAGGCAGCTGCAGGCAGCAGCAGGCAGCAGCAGGCAGCAGCAGACACCAGCAGAGGCAGCAGCAGGCAGCGGCACAGCAGACACCAGCAGAGGCAGCAGCAGGCAGCAGCAAGCAGCAGCAGGCAGCGGCAGGCAGCGGCAAAGTTGCAATTTTATAGTAGGGTTTCAGAAGTGACGTTAGGCCCTTTTTTGGGGTTCCTTTGCTACGTTTTGGGCACGAAATTAGGTGGTGTTTTGCTGTTTCGGATGTGTTTCGAAAAGGGTGTCTGGCTGTTTGTTTCTTGCTTTGGAGGCTGTTTGATTGCAGCAGCACCACAGCAGCAGCAGCAGCCACCAGCAGCAGCACCAGCAGCAGGCAGCAGCAGGGAGCAGCAGGCAGGCAGCAGCAGGCAGCAGGGTTGCAGAAGTGACGTTAGGCCTTTTTTTGGGGTTCCTTTGCTACGTTTTGGGTACGAAATTAGGTGGTGTTTTGCTGTTTCGGATGTGTTTCGAAAAGGGTGTCTGGCTGTTTGTGGCAGCAGCAAGCAGCAGCAGGCAGCGGCAGGCAGCGGCAAAGTTGCAATTTTATAGTAGGGTTTCAGAAGTGACGTTAGGCCCTTTTTTGGGGTTCCTTTGCTACGTTTTGGGCACGAAATTAGGTGGTGTTTTGCTGTTTCGGATGTGTTTCGAAAAGGGTGTCTGGCTGTTTGTTTCTTGCTTTGGAGGCTGTTTGATTGCAGCAGCACCACAGCAGCAGCAGCAGCAGCCACCAGCAGCAGCACCAGCAGCAGGCAGCAGCAAGGAGCAGCAGGCAGGCAGCAGCAGGCAGCAGCAGGTAGCAGCAGGCAGCAGCAGGCAGCAGCAGGCAGCAGCAGGCAGCAGCAGACACCAGCAGCAGCAGCAGCAGCAGGCAGCGGCAGGCAGCGGCAGGCAGCGGCAAAGTTGCAATTTTATCTATAGTAGGGTTTCAGAAGTGACGTTAGGCCCTTTTTTGGGGTTCCTTTGCTACGTTTTGGGTACGAAATTAGGTGGTGTTTTGCTGTTTCGGATGTGTTTCGAAAAGGGTGTCTGGCTGTTTGTTTCTTGCTTTGGCGGCTGTTTGATTGCAGCAGCACCACAGCAGCACCACAGCAGCAGCAGCAGCCACCAGCAGCAGCACCAGCAGCAGGCAGCAGCAGAGCAGCAGGCAGGCCCCGCAGGCAGCCGCAGGCAGCTGCAGGCAGCAGCAGGCAGCAGCAGGCAGCAGCAGGCAGCAGCAGCAGGCAGCGGCAGGCAGCGGCAAAGTTTCAATTTTACAGTATGGTTTCAGAAGTGACATTAGGTCCTTTTTTGGGGTTACTTTGCTACGTTTTGGACACGAAATTAGGTGGTGTTTTGCTGTTCCGGATGTGTTTCGAAAAGGGTGTCTGTTAACATTTACTCTTTATCTAAACTACTCCAAGATCGACAAAACATGATGCTGGCTAGTTGAGTCCCTAAAGTAGCTAAAGGCTGGAAACTATCAACCAATTGTCAAAAAAAACTCAGACCATCATCTGATATATGATATAACTGTCATATAACCACATGACCATTCTTCCGGGGTCGGCGGCAGGGGCGGCAGCCCTTAATATATGGTACAGTACCTCCATTTTAGGATCCTGGAATTCCCATTGACTCTACCTTATCAGCAAACTCAGTTTGGATATCAACAAAAATCCTGTTGTCTATCAACAAAAACCTGTCCAATCAAATCACCATAAGTTTTTGGGGTCATTCGTACGGGAAAATTCAAAAGAACCCACAGCACTTCGTACGGCTTCGCAACGCCGCACCTGAAGCCCAAGTTCTTGGCGCCCACCATGGTTACGGAGACCTGACGCACCTGACCGTGATGATTCCGAGAAAGGCATAGTGGCAATTTGTTGCCACACACACATGTATATATATGGCAATATTGTATATATATAGTAATGTTATGTAATATTCTATGATAACAATGTATTATATGTAATTATACGTAATAGTATATGATAGTAATTGCAATGATGATAACAACAATAATAGGATCACAACGGTCATGATGATAGCAATCATCTAGTAATCATAACAATAATAATCACATATAATCACTATATACATAGTTCAGTTCCAATCGAAGTTTGCGTCCTTGATGCTAATGTCAAGTAGTTCAGCACTTGTGACCGCGCTGAAGCGTCCCCCTTTCGGTATTTGTTGGGAGAGGTTTGCACGCTGGTCTGTTCCAGAAAGACATCGAACACATCTACCCAACGCTGTGCGTCTAAGTTCACATCCAAAATGGTAAACAAGTAGGTATCATATGTCCAGTAATAAACGCCTGCTTCAGGAAACCCTGCTTTAGTAGTGAGCTGCTGGATCTCTTCATTTTGAGGTCCTGAGGACAAAATACATGGTAATCCAAGAACAGCCAAATAATAACCGCACATTAACCCAATACTGGATCATTGTGGGTTCCCATACATGGACAAAAAGAATCATGACCCAATTTTCTAGCCAATAAAAACCCAATTATGGATTATTTGCTGATTTTCATGGATTTTCGAATCCCAATAACCATAAATAACCTATATAACAATTAGTCCTGCGGTTTGAGGAATTCCCTCCACCCATCCACTGACTGACCTCCACAGCGCTAACTGCTTTCCGTCCACCCGAGGGGCTGGATCCACCCCTGTCAGCATCAGGGCTTTTTCAAATTGGATATCTAGACCCATATTTGCATGGGGGTGCGATAACACACATGTATAATATATATATATAATATAATATATGTATATTTATGATCGGCCCCTTCTAAATGGGAATGTAACACGGGTTATTCGTGCTTGTTTGATGACAGTTTTTAACTATTCCTGGACTACGGTGAAGTTGCGGTGGAACTTGGAGAATGCTACGCAGTCATAAGTGATCCTTTGGTTTATTTAGAATGTTGTGTTGATAGCTTCTTTTCTGGGATATCCAAATCCCATCAAGTTGTGGATGATTTCCGTGTTCCCAATGGTGATCTTCTGTTGCTACCTCAGATTTCTAGACGGTAGATGAGGGTAGTTGGTTTTTAAATATGTTTTCCAGGCATCTTTGGTTTCGTTTGGAGGGCTCCTTCTGCAAGCCTGTCACACCTTGGGCTTGGTACAGGTGCTGAAGCTCTTTATTTTGGGGACTCATCCAGGGGGTGGGGTTGTGATCATTATTTGGAGGATGAAATTAAATGATTAGGTCGGAAGATGGCCTCTGTTCAGTCTTCTCCAGCTTCCCTTTGGCTGGCTCACTCTTCTTTGCACTTGTCCTGGATGAACGGGTCCCAGCATGGACAGGAGATAGGGTTGACGCGGGGAAGCATGACAACACCAGTAGCCACTTGCACGATGTTGTTTTGGAAATTATTTCAGGATTTCCCAGCTACAAGTACAGATTAGTTCTTCGATACTTCCGTGCAAACTTCGCGGCGGAAATCTTCATCCCATCCTCGCACTACACTCATTTCTTGGATTCCCTCGGCGAAATTTTGATACCCTGCAACAAATTTCACGGGGTATGATATATTCATTCCCCCATTCTCCATCCAAATGGCAGTCCAAATAGATCAAAGTTCACCCATTCAACAACCAGTCGCACGTTCGCCGACCGGGTTTTCATGACTCGGCATGCTGCCGGTTTCCTCACTTTTGGAGCCGCCTCCTCCTTTGGAAGGTTCTCCATCCTCGGTCTGTTGATCCAACGATACCAGGAGCCATTCACGAACTCCCGAGTGGATTCTCCTACCCAAGTACTACACTTGGAATGGCTACAGCCCACTAAACCACCACTAAATACCACGAATATGTTTTTTCATCATCGAATACATTGGCTGAAACACCTCCACTCTCATCATTTTGTGTGTGTGTGGATCTTCTGGATGTTCATATGTGGTCAGCTTGTACCATTATTCATCTAGGATATCCGGCAAAACAAACCATGTTCATCCGAGATATCAACGATTCGCTCATCTCCAGCGGAAAATCAAGCGGTTTTCACCTACCACCAGTCGCTCTACCCAGATATCCCCACCAAGTGGATCCGTTCCATTCCGACTTAATTACATAATTTTTGTAGTTCTATCCACATCGCCAATCTTGAATGCCCAAAACAAAAAGCTAGCTGCTTAGTACAGATTCCCCAGTTTTGGCAAAAGATTGGTTAGTACTCAACTACCCTACGCATCCAGTTCGTCTCCCCACTCGCTTGATGGTTGAATTCCCATATGTTTGTTGATTAAACTAGTGAAACCATATTGCACACCCCTTCCAATTTGAGCTATCCATTTCCTGACCCATATGCTCAATGTATGGAATATTTACCAACATTTGCCCTAAAAATCACCCAAATGTAGGTAAATATACCATACATGGAACATATGGGTGAGTAAACCGTACAGTAGTATCTCAGAGCTCATAAATGGTTGCTCACATCTTTTATCACACAATATATCTATGAGGGTTGAGGTCGTCTTCTGAGCCTTCCGACGCCTCACATTCTGCTGTATCGAAGTAGGTCTCGTTGACGCCGGGCTCGTGCTTGGACGCCACCGGCAGCTGTGGTGCAGTGGGTGGTGCCACGAACTCCTGAAGGACATGGGCCGCCGGATCTCAACCATCAGGAACTTGGGTCCTGAAAAAATGCTGAAAACATGGGAATATAATAGGCTAGGATATCATGGGGATATAATGATGATGGGGATATACTGGAATGGAATGATATATATATATATAACCGATATGAATCGATATGATATGATGACTTCACATTGAAGCCGGAAATGTGTGGCCACAAAGATTGACAGTGAAAGGGTACATTTGGCCTTAATTTGCTGTAGTGGATGTAAGATGATGTAAGTATTTTGAAACCCTGAACTTGCAAAATGTACTCAAATATTGAAGGTGTGGTTGATGATCATTGTCTACTGACTCAACTTGCAAGATCTCATGATCTATCTTAAAGATTATATACCATCTGGTTATGACTAACATAGCCATGGAAAGATCCACCATGCTATTAATAGGTAAACCATCTATTTCTATGGGCCATCTATACCATGGCTATGTTAAATAACCAGAGGCTAATCATGTGTGAAAGACTGTGATAGAATGTGAACCTGCGTCAATTGAATCATCGTCTTTATATGCAGTTTGAGGACCACCCGGATGTGTGTGCCGTAAAGTAAGGTCTCGAAAATCAACTGTGCGCGAAACTGTGTCAAACTGTAGGTGGTGCCATGGACTGATAGTGACTATGAGTGTGCCATAGTGTGCCAATAATCAATAATCCAATACATCAAATGATGCACTGATATCGTAGTGATATGAGAACCACAAGTCCTTAGTGCGGCCATCAAATTGGTTCTCATGTGTTCTCACACATATTCACAAGAACTTCACTCATCCCATCTCTCTAACATAAAAAACACCGGGCTTACCGTTGGACCACTGTTTAGTAGGGAAAGAAACATGATAAAACCACAGATGAAACCACATTGTCTTAAATTGTCTTAAAAAGCAACAACTTTTTGTGGCAACCGGTTGATGCACTTCCTGTATTTTTCCCTCATCGACGATGATACGCAAACGGAGAAGCGCCTGAGCAGGTGGCACAGCTGGTGGTGGTGGCTTGGGAGGCTCCCAAGAAAAGACATTGAAGTGGTGGATTCAGTTCTTACTACAATATAGGTTTTGATCATCTTCAACATTCTTTGACAAGCATGTCATATATTATCTGCACACAGATTCCATTGCTATGGAATGGTACAGTATGGATATCATGGCACAATCTCAGGAAACAAATGCAAGTTCACATTATTTTGCATTATTTGGGCCCCAATTTGGCATGGCACAGTATCATTTGTACACTTCAAAAGCTTGAAAGCACCACCGCCACCACCACTATGCCAGGGGCACCCCGCATTTCGACCTTCAGGCACACCCTCAAGCAGGAGGTCACCTTCAAAGCCATACCTCCCGGACAGAAACTGGCAGATTCAACCCATGTCCATGGGAAAAAAATACCCCTATCCCATTATAATGGTTGGTTAATAGGTATCCGATTATGGATGATGATAATCACCAATACATTGGTCTACTATAACCCCTAACCGATCAATGATGGTATCTCTCATGACTCAAATGGGTCATTTTTTCCCTTCGCTCGTAGAGTACATCACTGAGGTCCAAGCGGATAGAACTCGTCCGAAGCTAATCGCACCTGACCACAGTTCCAAAAGCTTGCCAGGACCACATCGGAAGCTGGAAGAAAATCTATGGTCTTGGGATTCACTTGGGATGTCTTGGGAGTCAGTTAACAAGTCAACGGAGATGTGTCAAATATACTCAAATATTGCATGAAGCACCAATCCTCTCCCCATGATTCCAATGGCAGTTTCTGCTGTTCTGATGAACATATTCAGCATTTCAACTGGGGGGCCATGTATTTCGAGAGTTTATATGACATCCCCAATCTGATTCGTTTGGTCATCCAAGGCATGGCTACCCCACTACCGACTGTTCACCATCATCTACCCATTGGTTCCATTGGTTCCGAAACTATGGTGAACCAAAGAAATCAACACAAAGATATTATCATATCACTGAAAATTGTGGACTATATATACCCGGTTGCCCAACATCTTTCATCAACCAACTCCGAAAAACTGGAAGATCCCGTGACATTTCGCTTGGCCTCTCCCAGGAAGTCGCTCCCCACGCCACGAAACGACATGAGACCTGAGGCTCCCAGGAGTGCTGGCCCGTCTTCACCTGTTGGCTCATGGTTATCTCAATGAATAGATCTTATATGGAGATTTCCTAACATAGGGGTACCCTTAAATCATCCATTTTCATAGGATTTTCCGTTATGAACCATCCATTTTAAGGTACCCCCATTCATGGAAACCATATGAAACCATCATATGATCTTATAGCCACCCAGTTCAGGGTAGTTTTCATGCCGATCCACATCTGGTAGGTGTCTCCCTGCATCTGCCACAACCGGATCCTCCCAATCCGTCCCAGCTCCCAGACGTTCTGTGATATCTTTGAAGGTGTCGTCCTGGGGCGGGTGTCATTCACCTGAACCTTCCAACAATTGGCGCACATGGAATCCTCATCAGTTTGAATAAATCTCAGAACATCTACATATTTGGGGATGGGTCAAAACCCTGGTACCTAGTGAACCCCAAAATAGCTGGTAAATGGATGTTCATCCCACTAAAAATGTATCTATAGGTATTGACCCATACCCATTTCTGTATGATGTATGGCTTATCATCTCTCAGCTTGCTCTTGGCGTCTGAACAAAAACACTGGTTTTGTACACCTTACACATGTTTTGAGCAGAGTAAAATTGCGAGCCCAGCTCCTGATCCAGGACCTGCAAGACTATGTCACTGCCGGGTGTGTACGGATTCACCAGGTGCTCCTGCAGGGTTCCGGGGATGATTCGATGACTGGATGGCTTGATCCTAGTGAGGTGTAGTGAGTACAGGATGGGCCCCCCGTTGGATAGCGTTCAGTTGCCCAAAAAAAGTGGCTGAATTCTACGGTTTATGGTAGATATAACTTGATATAACATGATATAACTATAGTCAATGGGGGGTTATAATGGCTTATAAATAACCAACTTATCACTGGGGGGGCCCATCCTGTAGTTGTTTTTCACAAGCCAATTCATGGGACTTAGTCACGCCTCGAACATATTTTCTCAATGAATTGCGGAAATGCCTCTGTCCAAAAATGGAGATGTTCACCAGGTTTGTAGTTTTTTAAACAGGAAAGATGAACCCTTGTGGGATGTAATGGAGTTTTCACAAGCAAATCACCGAACAAACATGGACAAACCCAGATAGAATCTCAACTGGTCAACCCCAAAATTGATGTTTGACCCCTGGTTTATTGATCAAGAGAACCATTTCCACTAGCAATTTCCACCATCTTTGGGCGGATACCTCCTATGATCAAATCAACCACTTGGTTGAATCGAAGCCAACCCGTTGGAACGTTGGTTTCCCTCGTACACTCCTCATCCCAAACAGGGTCTAGAGTTTGGCGGCAAACCTGTGGCGGAAATCCATGGCTTGGGACACCCAGGAAGTTTTGGTATCGCTCTGGCTCCCCTAAGTTCCAACAAAGTCATCATGTTATATGAAGTGGATACGGTGTCAGCCAGTCACTATCAACCCTTCAAGTCATCTCCAACTGGGCTTCAGAATTGGGCTTTGACATGTTTTGACCCATGATGTAGAACTCTCACAAACATCTTCCAAACACATCTTATGTCTCTGAGTGAAGATTGACACTGACTGTAGAGTCACCTGTGTTTGAAAGGCGGGTGCTGCTTCGTCCTCGCCCAAGAAGCAAACCACATAAGGATCCGACCTCACATTCGAAGCACATGGACATTTTCCATGGAAATTCCCAAGGACATGATCTACATGTCTATATAATTCTATATATCTATATTTCTGGTGCATTCTCCACATCTATGTTAGTGAGCTATCTGAACAACGCAGCTACATAACTCTCCAAACCTTTTGACTTCCATCAAGCAACAACTGCCCAGAGATATGGGAATGCAGTCGACTACGGCTGCCCACGGCCTAGCTTCCAGAGTAATCCTGTAACCCAATTCACCCGGAATTCAAAGATCTAGCAATGGCAAACCAAGTTTTGAATAGGCAAAACATTTACACATTGTAAAATGTGCAGGTGGCCTCCCCATCGCGGCACAAGCTGAGGTTGCCACAATCCTCGTTCATCGCCACGAGGCAAGTTGGAAGCACTGTGAATTAGGACCTGGCCCAGTGCCAGGGTGCCGGATGTGCTACGTTTCAGTGAGATGGAAGTGGATGGAACCGTCAACGGTTCAGCCCCAAAGAAACTGGTGGACCATTCAGTCACTGAACGGATGAAGCATGCTGCCATGCCAAAACATGAGGCATGAATCAAGTGCACCACATTCTCTGAGGTCTGTATAATTACTGTAGTTACAAAATGCTACACATTTTGTGACACTGTAGTTTTTCTTTCTCCATTGCACACCAAACTCACTGTGTGAAGCTGTCAGAGTTTAACCACTTCACAGCACAGGATGGCACGGGATGGCATCCCGCCTTCAATCGCGTCTGACGGCTCCGCGACGGCGAAGGCATCGTGTTAGCTATTCTTTCAACCAAACCTGATAGCCAACTGGCAGCATGAAATATATTCAACAGAAATGGGTGCAACAACTAATCTCATTGAATTCATTGACAATTTTAGATAGCCAATTTTTCTTCATACGAGGATGAAATGAAGCTTAGACTGATTAAACAACCTTTGATATCCTTCCTGTTTTTCCAGTGGTGTCTGCTGCAGTGTGAGTAGCTGTTGCATGGGTCTGTTTCTTACAGCATGCCCAAGTATTTTTCAAATGGGTCATAGTTTACGGGGACACCAATGGTTTCGCGGTAGCGACATCTTGAGAAACACCAAATACTGATACTTGTCCAGCTATTCTTTGCGTGCAAGCTTGAGCAAAATGTTAACCGAAAGAGCAATTGGCAAGCACATAAGTGCCTTACATGTCTTCTACTTGATCGAGTGGTAGGAAATCCGAAATCCCATTAAAGATGTTTCTCATCATCATCACAAATTGATGGAAACCCAGTTTTGCATGGTCTCATAATCATCTACTTTCTATAGTTTTTACTGTGCAACTGAAATTCACCAGAATCCCCCGGCGGATCCCTGCGAAGCTGAGCCAGTTTGGAGCATTCCAGGATGGAACATCGATGACTGAAGTACTTTAAACATCTGTAAACATCTTTAAAGAACCACTCCAAGTTGGGATTTTATGGGATATTCATGGGGATATAATGGCTAATTTTCAAAGAGCCCCATGTAGTACAGTAATAACGACCCAACTGTAGAGGCTCTACTTACCAAGAGTATCACACGATGGGGATTTCCCATTGCCATGTGTACTTACCAGAAGGTCACCATCTTCTAGCTTTGCAAATGTGATCCCTCATCCAGAACGTTGGCTAAGTCAACTTAGCATCGGGGGCCCAGAACATGTTTAGGATAAAAAGGTGGCTATAAACGAACAATGATGGGTGCTATGGGTCAAACAATTTTTAGCTCTAAACATCTTTTACTGTATCAATTCTTATCATTATAACTGAATGTATTTGGTCAGGATCCAATCAAGGCCTGCTCCTTTCTTTATCAAGCCCTTCACCGCACTTTTCCATGACACGTCGTGCGTTTTGGTGTGGCAAAAGAACTGTTTTTAATGGACTGCCGGCCTCAGGATCCCGTGGTAAGGGGAGTCCATCGGACCGACGTTCCCAACAGCTTAAGTCGGCGCTGCACCACTTCTGCGGCGATATTTCACTGATTTTCACTGTTTGCTTGTCCCTCTGGCAATGACCATGTGGTTTTGCTTGAACAGTTGAGATATGTTGAGATGTTGTAGTGCCAAGAGATGGGAGGTTGCTACGTCAAGTCATTGGCAAAGCATCCAACATTCAGCTATTTGGTCAAAAAGGGGAGGCATGATACCAATTGACAACTGGCAACTTCACAATGCTTTTGGTTGATTTCACCATCCAAGTCTCTAGACATGAACCATGAGCATAATGTCAAATCACAACCAATTTCTTCATTCGACATTCAAACAGGTTGATTTTACTCCCAAATTTCACCGTTTTTCCCCACTTGTTTCGCTGTTTGATTCCTTGTCATGGGTGATTGGGACTGCCCGAGGTCGAGCTCGGTGAAACCTGCTTTTTTGGGTGAGCCTCACGACGTTTCGTCGGCCTGGTACTGTATCGCGGTATGGCGAAGCAAAAAATGGTGGGCTGAACGGTTGAACCATGTTGAACCCGAAGAACAGTTGGGGATCTGACAATACGTCGTACAGTGATGGGATGTGGTGAGGTTTGAACATGTCTCGACCAAACTGCTGGCGGAAACATTCAACAAGTAAAAAATAGGAAAGGGCCGCCGAAAATGGGTCTCCATTTCATGAATGCAAAGGGATTGAAGCAACAAGAGACATTAAACAATGGGAACTTTCCAGAGATGGACGTCCAACCATTTTGAATCATCAAGTGCGATACAACAAGAACCTGCACGGATTCTAAACAGCTGGTTGAGTTTGAATAGATGACACAGTTTGACTGTCTGCCAAGAGGGCGTTTGCACTAAAACAATCTAAAACATACAGTAGCCTGTTGGAACCAAGTGCAAGCTCCCTTTGTTCCGCGATCCTCCGTCAGGAGAATGTTCATCACTTGTCTCCAGCGCCACTGGAAGGATGTATCATGCACTGGCTGCACACCGCCAGACAAAGAGAAAGGCTATGAGTGGGCCTTTCCAGGCTGCGGGCATATCTGATTTCAATATCATCTCTTGCATCTGGTCGCATGTTTCAATACCTAGTTCTCTCATACTCGCTTCTATTTCATGCATGCTTTTTGGCATTTTCCTGCTCCTCCACCGTTCTTGTTTCTTCTTTCTAGTTGCCATCTCCAAGAAAGCTTCGAGAGACATGCACATTCCCTGCACATATTTGGCTTCCAACCGTGTTTTTGCCACCATCTTCTCCTGCTCCATCAAGTACAGCATATTGTCAAAGGAAAGTAAGATCTTCTCTGGCCAAGTGCCGCCGAAACTGCCAGATGAGGTAGACTGTCCATCTTGTTTTCCTTGTTCGTTCCTGCTTCGCTGAACAACGCTGGTCTCACTTGTCCTGTCACCAGAGTCCTTTGTCGTGGTCGTGTCGGGCTTGATCTTGACAGAGAAGCCCAAGTTTACATCTTTCGGAGAAATAGACATGTCTCTTTGCCAGGTTAAATCGAGCTTTGCAGAAGCTGTGTTAGGCCGATCTCGTGACAGACATTCGTATTCAATCATAGAAGCATTCTGACACAGAGCGTCCAGAAGCTCAGCATCCTGACCAAGAGAATTGCTGCTGCACATTTGGAGAAGGACCTTGGCGAGAACTTGACTCCTTGTAAGTGACCATTTTATATTCTCCAATGTTTCTTTGCCTCTTGCAGTGAAAGCTTTCCTCTCCAACTCGCTCAAAGAGGAGAATGCTGTAACATCTGGATATTGGGCCAATTGAAGCAGCACAGCTTGAAAAAGCTGACTCCCCTCAACATCTTGAGCCCTGCTCTCCCAAATTTTCTTGCCGTCTCGTGCCACATCGTTCACAATGTACTCCACATCCATACCTTTCAAGTCTCGAAACATCCATTTGGCAACTCGAGCTGCCTTCACAGCTCCGGGGTACTCTTCATAGAGCTTTTTCAACCGATCTGTTTGATCTGGCCCATGCATCTGGAGCTCTAGGTCAAAACGCTCGGGAAAGGCCACATCCACTGGCAGTCCGAAGACCTCCAAACGAATTGCTTTGTATCCCTCTTCGAATTCAACGCTCTCGATGCTCGGGTCGTGTTTGAGTACGTTACAGAAGTTTTGGAATTCCTTTGGTGATGGCCCTCCCCGTGTATTGCTTATGTGGAAGTCCAAATCCGAGAAGAACTTGTTGTGAACCTCCCGATTACAGGATCCAACCAATGAGACCTTGCAGTTGGGGAACAACTTCTCGGCATGTCCCTTGATTAGCTCCTGAATGTCATCAACCGGAAAGCGCGGCAGTGGAAGCAAGCTATCAGCAAACTTTCCAAAATCTACGTGCATGTCCCAGACTGCTGCAACGTCGATCAGGTCTTTATGTAACTCTTCATCATATGGCGGCTCAACGCTGCTAGCCTTCCTCCCCAAGCTCCCAATGCTGCAATGCCCTGCAGCTTGCCCCCTCCAAAATGGCACCATGGGAACCACGAACATATTACCCTCAGGCGAGAAGGCACACATCGCAAGGGCTGCAGCTCCCCAAAACAGCACAGGCCTACGGTGCGCTGAACGACGAAAGGCCGCCATGCTGGCTCAGTTGACAAGTGGGGCAATAGATTGAAAACAAATTCTGAATGTTCACATGGACCAAAATCGTGGATTCCATTTCGGAGACTATCCCCTACATTTCATTTTGGGCAAAACCCTGCGCAGGAAAAGGTCGTTTCTGAACCCCTGACAGTTTGCATGTTTGATCCACACTGGTCTTCTTGATCTTAAAGGCTGTCCATCACAGTGCTCGTGGCGCGGAGTGTGCCCTCAACACCGCGCATCTTGCAGGACAACATGTTTTTCATCAACATGCCAAAATGGATATCCCAACTCAGCCAATCCACCGTCCAAAAAAGTAGGGAACTGACAGCGCCTCCAGTTGGAAGATGTTTAGAAGCTGCTCCCTGGGCCATGCAGGTGGTGTTTTGCAGATTCAACGCCCAGGTTACTCAGCCAGAATGCCAGTTACTAGATGTTACCAGAGGGATTATACCTCCAATTCCAAGCAACATTGGCATGATAGCAGGAGTTACAGTTATCTATGATAAAGTAGGTATCCCTGAAAGTTCACCTTCAAAATGCCTCCGTCTTGCTTGTGCGCGTGCAAAGCTACACTAGAGATTTGCAAGGGATCACTGGAAACGCATGCATGGCTTTGATTCTTCCAGTGCAGGGACATGGTTTCACTTGCTGGAAGATCCATGCTTCTTATGCAAGGTTCTCAATAAGCTGCAAAAATCCTTGGGGTACGTTTCAATGAGTGGCAGTGGTCAAATTACCAAAGCTAGACAAATCCGGAAACAAGTTCTTTCAGCAAAGTACCGTGTTTGACAAGTCTCAAACTCCGAGGCCTGTTCACCAAAAGTCAAGGTCCTGTTCGTGCCTTTTCACCTGCTTCTCGTGCAACCATCTAGCTATGGGCCCTTATTTGAGTGCTCCAAAAGTCTAAGAACCAACCAACATCTGAATATCCAAGGGCAAACGCAAGTTTGACCCCTGGCCACCTACTGGGTTTATTCCCTTTATTCCCTTTTTTGTTGGTTCGCAGTCCCCCTGTTTCAATGGCCATTTCAGGTACCTAAACTGGGGGTACTGTGCCATATAAAGCCATATTTTGGGGGGTATATCCCCTTGCATAGCCCTTACTAAGGGTCTATATATGGTAGGTACCTCCAAGTTAGGTTCCTGAAATGGCCACTGACTGTTTATGTATTTGTCAAAAAATCTATCCCCATTTTGAGTGAAACACAATTCAGAAAACCAGGAAAGAACAGCATTGGAATTGGCCATGGTTCATCCCATCATGGAATTCCAAGCATAGTGGGTACCCTCTGGTCATGTCAAAATAGCTATTGATTATTTGGCCATAGAAATTTAGTGAGTTTTCCCATCAAAAATGGTGGATCTTTCCATAGTTTTTTGTATGTTTACCAGTGGCATCCAGTCAAGTCGAAAGTCCCGAAAATGGATGAATTCCAACCATCCCCCAAGTGGTGAATCGAGCTTCGAGCTATCATTCGTAGTATAGCAATCTCCAAAAAGATAGAACAGTAAAATCCTAAGAAAATAGTGAATACCTACCCTCTGGTAAACTCATATAACTATGGAACATCACCATTTTTAATGGGTAAATCAACTATAAGTGACCCTTTTCAATAGCTATGTCAAATTACCAGATGGTACTTGTCTTGACTTTTCGCTTTATTTGTGGCTTACTATCTCCCGATTTTCTCAAGTTTTTCTTCGCCCGTGGTGCGCCTCTGGCTGTCCAGGTGTGAGCCTGAAACAAACAACGCTTGTGCATCGGGCACCTTTGGTGGGGTGCAACAAAAATGGGCAGATGGAGCAACAGGGTATAGGGTAAACAATGACCCAAAATGGTGCTTGAACGAAGTAAGACACCAGCACCTTGGAGATGAGGCAGCTGGAGGTAACAACAATGGATATGGCGACTTCAAAACTGGGTACCCATGACCAACAAAACTACCCTCTGGTAAACTAACATAGCTATGGAAAATCACCATTTTTGGTGGGTAAATCCACTATAAATGGCCATGTTCAATAGCTATGTTAAATTACCAGAGGGTATACAGCCATTTCTATGGCCCAAGGCATGCAATGGTGGACCACCTGGACCGGTGGACGGTCCAACTTCAAAAGCCTTCCTTCGCCTGTCATGTATTGATAGAGCTGGCACCAGAAATGAACAAACATGCTGCCTTGTTATCCCCAAATATCCCAAACACAAAATGGGCAACCCACATTGTATATATATATATATAATAATATATATATATTATTATATATATATATATGTATATTTGTATTATCTTCTGGCATTGGGATGATGGACGATGCATGTCCACCATTGATCAAATAAACTATAAACGTTCAAACGTGATGATGCTGCGGTCCTCAACTCGGGGCCAATCCTTTCCACTTTGATAAATCTTCAAGTGGGATGATGGATACCATGGTAGCTGGTTGCTGATTTCAACCCAAGAAATAGTGGTCAATTTGGATCATGGAGGCCTTTGGAAACCACCAGCTAGGCAGCACAGGATTTCAAACCACAAGAACTCAGGCATTTCACGGCAAAAACCGCCTTATCGGCCTTGCGACGTAGGGGACCTCAAGATGCACAGGCAATGCACAGGCAATGCACAGGCAATGCATAGGCAATGCATAGGCAATGCATAGGCAATGCATAGGCAAACACATGCAACAAATGGGTGTTTCCATAAATGGGGGTACCTCCATAAATGGATGGTGTATTTTATAATGGACAATCCCTCTAAAATGGATGATTTGGAGGTCCCTCCCATTTTAGGAAACCTCCACATGGCTCCTGACGGATATATTTTCGTAGTCTGCATACTGAGGATGGCACTCGTCACTGGCACATCCTAGTCAAAAGGCTGAGGCTTTCAGGTCTTGGGGATCTCAGCTGCAGTAGCTTTTGAGACAAACTTCAGGAAAATAGGACACATATAGATGAAGTACAAGGGCTATGTATGGGATAGATGAGCTAGTGATGTTGAGAATGGTCACAACTTCTGGTCATCTGTTTTCACACGTATTGTGATCTGCCTTGAAGTGTGGATAGCGACACTGACATATCTTACGATTTGAGGTAACCCCTTTCTCCCTGAGGTCAAATCAGCCAAAGATTTACTCCAATGAAACTTGCTAACCCCTTCCCCTGAACAAACATGTACAACACCCAAGACACCCTGGTTTTGTATCTTTGATCTCATCATTCAAGGGCTCCGCAAAATGCCATGTTCTCAAACGTGATAGGCAAATGGACTCAGTCACCAAGACTGTGATGTTGGTAATTGGAACACGCAGTGATACAGTACCTAGTGACTCAGTGACAACTGACCAGCTGAACAAACAAAAATTGGTTTGAATTTCATGGTTTTATACTTTATATTGAACTTAAATATAACCCTGAAATCGAACATGAAAAGCCAACGCGAAGCTCACGGGTGATGTTCAACACCTTATGTACAAGTGTAAAGCCGCAATACGATCAATAGGCATCCGAGCTGATCATGTTGGCTACACAGGTCGGACATCTTGACAAATCTGCATCTGTGCCCAAAAGCCAATGAACAAGATTTGGATAGATTTGGTGTCCCAAAACTGGATGGCTCAGTACTTCTCATCACCTGCATTCCTGGCATTTCCTGTTTCTCTCGTCTTTTCCAATTTGAACCCTAAACCCACCGCCCACCGTGCCATTGATTTTCCAAGTACCTCTGAGAGGAGTCGGTCGATCACCAGAGATAAATTCTCCGTGTGCTGACCTGAGATATGCTGGTGAAAACAGTGTGGCTATGGGTCCAAAGTTCAGACACGGGGAAGGAACCAAAGATATTGGTCATGAACATGTCAGCATGTTAGTTGTTAGTTACAAGATTCCCAGGTCCGACCAGGATACGACCTAAGAAGAGTGGCAAGACGGATTTAACACATGCTGATTCTGTTGATGAGACATGTCCATGGCTGTTTTGGATCAATAATTGCATGTGAATCCTTACAGATTTCCAGCAACCTGGGGAAATTGGGATCTTGACATCCGACATGGCAGCTTTCCTGGTCATTGTTACTGCTCTCGGCAAAATGCTCCGAAGCTTTGGGATGTTTTGAGGGTTTAGGCAGGTGCCTGAAGAATCGGCAACTGGTCAGGGGCCCAACATGCATGACAAGGGCCTGATGAAGAGGTGAGGAGACATGCCACTTGAAAGGATAATGATCTCTTTCGGTTTTATGGTGGTCCATACCATGTTGATTTCCAAATGGTGATGAAGATCCATATTGTGGAAGAAACTTTACATGCCACCACCAGTGGTTCAATGCCAACCATCAGAAATTGGTGTCCAGAAACCATATGACCAGTCAAATCCAGCCAATCTTGGTTCAGCCTTTGTTTCAGGCCGCTGGCTCATGTCCGCCCTGGACGTCGTGCCGAGGGACGTCGTTTTACTCTACTTCTCTCAGTCGAAGGGCTTGGGGAAGGAGCAGCCTGGGAGCTGAATCAATGGGAAATCAACGCGCCTTTGTAATGTTTGGATATGTTTGGGAAATTTTTGAGTGATGTCGAATCCATCTCAATGTGTTTGGTTGCCAAAAAAAGTCGCCTTGGCATACAATCTTCTCGATTGCCCGCTGGTTCATTCAACTCTTAGCGAAATCACTTTCAGTTCTTGGCTGGTTACATCATCCAACTGCTTGATGATTTGTATCCCAAGCATATGGTATGGGCATCGGCCAAAATTGGCAAACCAACAGCTACACTACTGGGAGCCAAACCGGCAGGAGCTCCTGGTGGCAGAAGATGTGGCATTTATGATCCAATTTATATGGCCTCCTATCATTATCTATGATACGAAGTGATTTATCAATTTTGATAATTTATGATTATGATATTTGTGTTTATATACTGTATTTTCTCGCAACACAAATCTGAACATGTCAAGAAAGGTGTTTGGCATCGCATCACCATCTCCTCAGTATGACTATGCTTAGGAAGATTTGAAGGTTGACTCCGCTGGCCAACGTGTCTACCACTAGTTCTGAAGCAGCATTGGGCGCTCCAATATAGACGCCAGAAAGCTTGAAATCTGTTGGGTGTTCCATGATTTCTTTGTGCCAAGACGCATATCACAGCTATGGCTCTAGGAATGAGCTGGGCTGAGCTTAAGAGCAAGATGGATGAACTTCGTGATTTTCTTGCTTTAAACTTACACAAAGCGATTCATAACTTCTTTACCCGCTAAAAAACCGATACCCAACATGGCAATCCAACATGGCCATGAAAAACCTGCATTTTGATCATTTTGCAATAGGTATATATATAATATATATAATATATATAATATATATAATATATATAATATATATAATATATACACACATGCAAATATATATATATATATACTACCCAGAGATGCCAGACAGTCCTCATCAATGTGGGCCTCATGTCTATGGAAGTAGTTCAAGAACTCGTCGTACTCGATCATGCCATCACCATTGGTATCAGCCTCCAGCTGTGCAAGAAGTTTACCCAGGAAAACTTCGGGTTTTACCCATTTCAAGTTGGGAAACAATCTCCAAACGTCAATTCTGGCAGATATTCTTGGTCCCTTCTCTTACTACAGCACCACTTATGCTGAGATCGTTTGACGTCCTTGTAGTCTGGCCAGTTTGGAGGCCTAAAAGGAACTATTTTAATATATAATTATAGTAGCCCCCGAAAAAGATATATAGAATATCGTAGAATATCCTACGAGTACCTATAAATCTGTATAAATAAAACATATGAAAAACTCCATATAGATCTGTTTGGTTACTTTGATTTATATCCTGGTCTATATGATTCTGTATATCTTGATTCCCAGATTGCATCATGAAATCTCTTGGGACGGGCTGGCCTCTTTGATCAGCTCCTTGGCGTCGGTTCCTTCGAAGTGTTCACCCAGGATGCCTTGCAAATCTTCGGCCTCGGGCGCGGTGATGTTTTTCATGCCAGTTAAGTGAGCCATGGAAGTACCTGGGAATTTGTCATGAATCGATTTATGTACCCTCGGGTAAACTAACATAACTATGGAAAATCACCATCTTAATGGGAAAATCAACTATAAATGGCCATTTTCAATAATTAGCTATTTTGACATAACCAGAGGGTAATTCTGACATGAAAATTCATGGCAAATCTGAGGACTATTGGAACCTGGGAAAGCTGGGGAATATCCATGGGCCATGTTTCATGCCTGGTTGGTGGTATACCTACCCCTCTGAAAAATATGACTTCGTCAGTGGGGATGATGAACTTCCCAATATGATGGGAAAAATCAAAAATATTCCAAACCACCAACCAGATGATGTTTCTTTTTCTTCTATTCCTACTCGATGTTTGATTCTTGTCATGGGAATCCCATGCCGCCTGTGGAGCAACCAACTCCACCTCCCAAGTCCTCCCAAGAAACATAAAAACATGTGATTTTTACAATCAACCCAACCTTTTCAAAAAGGGGATCTAAATCAAACACATTAGGGGTTTCCAGTTGATTTGCAGTTGGATCTGACTGGGAAATCGTAACCATTAACTTGGGTGAAATGATGTGACATGCCCACATGTAACTACCAGCCGAGGCCACAGTGATGCGACCGCAGTTGTCCACGTCGAATTTCCGGAAGGTCCGCCGCAGCACGTCCTGTTGGGGTGAAATTCATCTTGGGCCTTATATGGTGGTTTCCTGAAATGAGGCTACCCCTAAATCATCCATTTTTTCTAGGGATTTTCCACTATAAACTATAAACCAACAATTTTTGAATACCCCATTTATGAAAACACCACCATATACCACCATGTCTTTGTTTGCGAACAAATAGGATGCTTATCCTTTGAAGCCCCTGATTTTGGGCCGGAAAATCACACAGAAAACAAACATCAAGATATAGCCAACTGAAATACAATCGAACAGTTCCGCCATATCTGGGGATACTTACCCTATGTTACCCTCTAAAAAACCCAGCAGTTTTTGGTGACATGGTGACATCAGACTTCAGATCTGTCAGATGGTCAGCGTCCTCGTGGACTTTGATACGGCCCTGGCCAGGAGTGGAGACTCAAATGATGGGCTTTTGATGAAATACAAGTTCATACTATAATGAAATATGTGATTAAACTGCCAAAATTTAGTTCATACTATAAGACAATATATATTATAAGATAATAATTATGTGATATAAGATCATATAAGATAATATATATATATATAATATATTAAAACCTGATCAATTTTGGTGGTCGAGGTCGAGGCGGTCCTCAATTTCAGGTATGCACCCAATTAAACTAATTAAACGTATGTACTTATTTTTTGCGCACAGAAAGGCTTGCTTTTCCTTTTCGCTTCCACTCTTCATAAAGAGCAATCTGTACTGTGCATGTCTGTTTCTAAGTCTTTTGAAAGTATTCTTTTTAGCTGAAAGCAGTAAGCTGTCACGCTCCAAAACGCAGGCAGAACCAGCACTTCACTCCCAACACGTTCATTGGATTTTCCACCAGATAACTTTGCGTACGACGTATGGCTTAGGATTGACGCAGGGATTCAAGCAAACACAGTGCAGAGTTATACAAGTGTAGAATAGAATAGAATACAATTCCAATAGAATACCTATTCTTTTTCATATTCCAAGCGCACCATTTTTCCTGTTATGTATAATTCCACCATCAAACACCATCAACACAATCCCGTTGCGAAGACCTGATGCGACTGGATGTTTTGACAGCGAATCTGTGGTCCCTCCTGAAGGGCAGCCGCCAGAAACTCGCTGTACGCAATGACGTCATCGTGGTCCGTGTCCATGCTGTTGAACATCGCCTGCCGAAATCCAACATGGCGAGCTGGGAAAATCAAAGGAACACCGAACTAGGTGTGTCATGGGTTGTGTCATCGGACACAATGGGGGGTCAAGATTATCCAAAGGGTACAATGTGGGGCCGCCAAGATAGCTAAGTTGGTTTATAACTCCAATAACTATGGTTTATGGTACTTACAACTATAGTTAATCGGGTTTATAAGCCAACTTATAACTGGGGGGGCCCCACATTGTAGCTGTATGGATATGTATGGATCAGAAACGGTCAAACCTACCATTTGGAGATGATTTCACTCCCATTTCTGGCGATGTTAGGGATGGTCCCTGGCCCTTCAGTCTTGACCCCTTCCCATTCAAATGTGTGGTAAACCATTTAAATGGGATTGTCTGATCCAGTGGCTTATCATCATTTTCCCCATAATGCTGTAGATTTGGGGGTCCCCCACTTTCGGACACACCCAAAACATATTAACTTGGTTATATACTGTATTAACCATTATATAATATATCATATATTCCATTATATCCCCAACTTTTAAATATCAAATATATACATATATATATATATCACACATTAAATCCCAATTTGTAATGGTTATAGTACACGTTCCTTTATATCCCCATGAATATTCCATGAAATCTCAATTTCTAGTCGTTTTTTATCACCATTGACCAGGCACTTTCGCGCCTCAGCTTCCATGGAGTCAATGTGGTAATACTTCTCCAAGATCTCTTTCATCTGAGTGGAGGAGGAAATGCATGGCATGGTTGAATGGAAATGGATGGAAATGGATGGAAATGGATGGACTGGAATTTAATAGATCATCATAGATCATCGCCATTTTTAATAGCTAGATCTGGATATGGGTCAAAATTAGGTACCCCAAAATTATGGATGGTCAATACTAAACTAGACTAACATCTGTGGTCCCCTAGGTCTTCCATTTTGACCCACATCCATCTTTTAACTAAATGGACCGTTTTCCACGGCTGCGCTAAATTTCCGGAGGGTACAAGGTGAGGCCTCGTAGATAGCTACTGTAAGTTGTCTTACAACTCGCTTAACTTGGGTGGACCGGAAATATCGCTATATTTAATGGGTTCACAAACCAACTTGGGGGGCCTCACCCTGTATGTCCTGGGGGATTTGCTTCCGAACATGTGAAGGAATCCTTTGAACGCGTTCACAAAGTCCTTCCTAAGATGTCTTGAATTCACCGAACAACATGAATTACCAGAAAAGCCAAGAGCATGGCATCTTTCAAAAGATGGATACATAACCTTTCAAACCTGCAAGGGCCTGAAACAGAAGCCACCGCTTATTACATGCGGTAGATACTTCAGCCATCTCTCGTCTGTGATAATATATTGTGTAGATAAATCAGCCATCATCTCACATCTCGATACATCTTTCATGTTCTTTAAATGACATTTATACCATTTATATACATTAATTCTCATTGACTGGGTAGCTTCTTTTTTTGGATTCAGCCATCACCTTGTAGGTCCATTCCAATGTCAGTTGCCATGGCAGCCTCACCTGGAGATGGGTGATGGTCCCCGTATTTTGCGTGTCAAAAGCCAGGAATTCGTTGCGCAGCTGTGCTCGATCCTTCGCCGTCATGGCACGTCATTGGCTGGGAAGCTTGAGAGGAAACCCCAGGGGTTGACCATTGAAACATGGAAGGTCTAACCTGGTCCAAAGTAAATATCATTAAACTGGTTGGTGGTTGACCTACCCCTCTTAAAAATAGCAGTCAGTTGGGCTGATTCTTCCCAATATATGGAACAATTAAAAATGTTCAAAACCACCAACCAGTTAAATATCATTAAACATTCAATTCATCCTGCTTGGAGTGTACTGTTTCAGCAGGAGAGAACTGTGTCTTGGCAACTCGGGACTCTTTGGGGTGCTCAAACTTGACAGAACTAGACATGGAAGGGGCAGATCAGGGCATTTCGGTGCGAACATTGAGTCCCAAAATCAGGTGCTCACTGCTTGCTCATCTTTTTTCAATATATGTCCCCATTTTGCATTAACATAGCCCTTATCTCCTTATCATGAGGGGTATGTCCCCATCAATTTCGCCACACCTTTCGCCCTTTCGCTTCCCACCTCCGCATTCAGCGACCAAGCCATCATGGACAGCACCGCGCGACGAAAGGCGGTGGCCTTCGAAAACTTTCGCAGGCTCAACTTGATGTCGTCGTCCAGGGCGGGCGACTGCACCAGTGCAGATGCAAAAAAAAGGCCCCTGGTTTGCTTGGAAAAAGTTGACCAATAAATTCAAGAAACAGTCAACAAGTGAACTGAAACGGCCAACCGTTTCAGCAATTCCAAGTACTGGCTATAGTTTCATTGTTGCATGTTTGTTGGAATCACTTGGTTGCTTACTGCTGTTTACAAGTATTTGATATATATATATACACCCAACACATCCCAACACGAAGAAATGGTTGTTTGTAGTCACTGGCTGGTTGGCTGGTTGGTTCACCCTTTCTCCACGTCCTCGTCCCATCCCATCCTGCCTCGTTTTTGGTCCCTAGGCTCTTCACCCAAGGGTGCTCAAGCGCGCCTGCAAAGGTGGAAGCTGGCAATGGGCGGGATTTTGGAATCGCCTGGTTACCAGCGAAATGCTAAAAGGATCTTATAGGATCTTCATCCTGCCCTTAATTTCCTGAATATGGCATAGGTTTTGACTCATCCCCAATGTTCACCATTCCCGTGGGGATTTTGGAGAATTTTATGTTGCCTGTTGCCTCAGATTCACCTGATCAGTTTCGTGGAACGTGGATGGGCGAACACGATCAGGATCGCGTCTTCGAAGGAACTGAGGAACTTCAAACACTAGCGGCTAGCGAGTCAAGATATGTCAAGATACTCACTTGAAGACAGCATCAATCAATACATCAACATCGATTCTTCACAGCTGCAACGCCTAGACAGCCTGCATTTTCCAGCTTGAGCTGCTTACAATATATCTATCCATACCCATATGGGGGTGTCCTAAAATAGGGCTACCCCTAAATCATCAATTTTCCATGGGAATTTTCCATGGTTTTCCCATGGAGAAACCATCCAGCTATTGGGGTACCCCCCCATTTATGGACACCTCCATGGGGAAAAGCCACCGCCTTGAGCGTCTAGTCTGTCATTGGGATTCACCACCAGCAAAGCCTCCATGGAGCAAAGAGGACTTCTACGAGTCCACGAGACTCGTAATGGGTGGATGTGGGTCGTTGAAACATGTTGAACCGATATTTAGACTACGTATCATGCAAAATCATGCGGATAGATTGGTGGATAGATGTTGATCGTTCTACAGTAAATCATGCTAAATCAGACCTACTCATCAAAGATAGAACATTGATTTGTACATTAAAGCAGCATAAGCCAGCCATCAGCAGGATTTGACTGTTTCGACCAAAAAAAATTCAAAGATCCAATCAACCAAAACGGCCAACATAATTTGCATTCTGAATTCAACACGATTCAACACGTAGGCCAGTTGCTATCAATTCAAATAGATTTTGAAAAAAAAACCGTGCCAAGCCCGGTATGTACGCAAGTCTGGTAAAGGTTATCTGTGTACCCTGAGGCCCATGGGTAGCGCTCCCGATCCCTTGGTTGGACAATCAACAGCACACGCACACACGTTTTTCTCTAAGACTCCAAAGAATGGAAAGTCCTGCAACTAAACTTCAGCCAAGGCTTGAACATCCAGGGAAAAACCATTGAAAGCCAGCCTGCTGGGACCGAAAAAAAGGCGGAAGCCGCGCCTTCACAAAGTCCTGCGCGTTCTCCGAAAGTCGTTTGAATTTGGAGGACCAATGGACTTTCCCCGCCCTGGCGATGCGATGCTCTGGTGGAGCGTTCTTGGGTCAACATGGCCCTAAAGGTAGCAACAATGAGAGGGGAAAAATAGACCTCAGTTCATCTCAGTTCACACTAAAGGACACTCAAAACCATATATAAACTATACTTCCAAGTTAGCCAGATTGCAGGTTGCAAATCCTCTCCCAGAGGCCCCAAAACCCCTGCCTAATCTTTGCCAGCACTTCTTTGTCGGGCCCATGGAAGGGCGGACTCCTTGGGGCCCGTCCCAGAAAATCACAGAAAATCCATAAATGGAGGGTTTCATAAATGGGGGTACTCCCAATTTAAGGATGGTTTATAGTGGAGAATCTCATGAAAATGGATGATTTGGGGGTACCCCTCTAGGAAAGCTCCAAATCCCACTCTGCGTTTTTTTCCCCATGGGTCAACGTTGACCTTGGGCGATGCGGCACCAAAAAAACGATACGAAGCAGTCATTTGGGCCCCCGCGGTCTGGATGGTCTAGAAATCTATGTTTACAATACTTTTGAATATTTTGAGAGTTCTTCTTGCACTTGTTAGTCACTTGTTCCATATCTTTTCACCGTATTTCAGTCATCCGAATTCTCTGAGGCCGCAGACCCGGTGAGGAGCATGTAGCTGATAACGCCCAAGGACCATAGGTCCGCTTTCAAGGTGTAGGAGTTCCCAAGGACCTTGGGCTGATAACAGCTAATAGCATGCCAGGGCAGTTCCCAACCTATGGGAGATCGATATTCACCCCGCTTCGCGTGGGGTAGCCGCCCACACCGCAGGTTTATTTCGGTCCGTGAGAAGGGCTAAGGGTGGTTTTCCCCCGTGGGGGCTCTTCAAGCTAAGAAGTTTCAATAAGAAATCCTTCCAAAACATTGTTTTTGACAGTGTTTTTCCAATGTTTCCAGTCAAACAGACGGTAATTTACACGTTTTTTGCCATAAAGGCAGTAAATCCTTCCAAAACATTGCTTTTGACAGTGTTTTTGTAAGGTTTCCAGTCAAGCATACGGTAATTTACACGTTTTTTGCTATAACGTCAGTCCAAAACACTTGTTTTTGCAGTGTTTTCAATGCTCTGGCATCCAAAAACCCTGCAAAATCTTGCTATGTACAATGTTTTTTTCATTTTTGGCCGTTTTTCCATTGCCGGAAGGCTACCAAAATGACCCAAAATTCCATTTCAATACCCTCTTGCGCTCAGACACCCAAAAATCCTCGAAAAATGTCGAAAACACCACCGTATTCTGGTCTCGGTGCGAAACCGTTTTTGGGGTCTGGTCTCGGTGCGAAACCGTTTTTGCCCCCCCCCCAGCTAAAGCTGATATAGCGACTGCTATATTAACAAATGTCATTGAGCATTTAGTGTTGCTGTTGCCCCCCAATAAGCACGCCTTCACCGCCAAAGCGGTGTGGGCGGATTTCCCAACCTAGTTCATATAGCCATGAAAGGATTCAGGTACTGGAAAAAAATCGAAAAACACATTGAAATTACTTGCAAGGTGGTGCCCCATAGTTAGCTAAGTTGGTTTATAACTCCCATAACTATGGTTTATGGTAGATATAACTATAGTTACAGGAACCGACTGGCAGTTAGAATGTGGATTTTTTTGTAAAATAGATAGAATTTGCTAAAATCATAAAAAAATCTTATAGTTAGAATATGGGATTTTGGAAAAACCAACTGCAGTTAGAATATCCCGAACCATCCAAAACCTTGTTCACCGACTTCCCTTCCAGTATTTTTCTTCCTGCGATCGATGCCTTTGATTTCATGATGTGCTGTACAATGCGTGTAGTGTATTGCCCCATATTGTACTGTGCATTGCATCGTGTGCACGCACTCCAAAGTGCACAGCCAAGGCATACTGATACGGTAAACCATAACAATAACCATTGGGATTGAATAAATTCAATGATTTGTTGTGTAAAAGTTGCTGTGTGTAAAAGCTTATTTATGTTTTGCTCCCAACCTTCGTGCAAACCAGTGGTATTGAACAAATACGTGCTGATGTGTGGGTTGCACCACATGGGTTGCATAGTCTCAGTTTGTATACTGTCAGGTTGTTTGGTTGCAATTGGCTGCTTGAAGTATGGCAGTGAGATGGAGCGAACCTGCATCAATTCCCATATTCTAACTGCATGACATTCTTCCAACCTTGATGCAAACCCGTAGTATTGGACAAGCAATGTTGATATTTGGGTTGCTCCACATGAGTTGCGTTGGCACAGTTTCGCACAACTTGTATACTGGCAGGTTGTTTGGTTGAAATTGCCTGCTTAGAAATAAAGTTGTGAGATGGTGCGCACCTGCATTACTTCCCATATTCTAAGTGCACGTTTTTCTCCCAACCTTCGTGCAAACCAGTGGTATTGAACAAATACGTGCTGATGTTCGGGTTGCACCACATGGGCACATGGGTTGCATTGTCTCAGTTTGTATACTGTCAGGTTGTTTGGTTGCAATTGCCTGCTTGAAGTATGGCAGTGAGATGGAGCGAACCTGCATCAATTCCCATATTCTAACTGCATGACTTTCTTCCAACCTTGATGCAAACCCGTAGTATTGGACAAGCAAATGTTGATGTTTGGGTTCACCACATGGGTTGCATTGTCACAGTTTGTATACTGGTACTTGTAGGTTGTTAGGTTGCAATTGCTTGCTTAAAGTCAAGCAGTGATATGGAGCGAACCTGCATCAATTCCCATATTCTAACTGCATGACTTTCTTCCAACCTTGATGAAAACACGTAGTATTGGACAAGCAAATGTTGATGTTTGGGTTTCACCACATGGGTTGCATTGTCACAGTTTGTATACTGGTACTTGTAGGTTGTTAGGTTGCAATTGCCTGCTTGAAGTATGGCAGTGAGATGGAGCGAACCTGCATCAATTCCCATATTCTAACTGCATGACTTTCTTCCAACCTTGATGCAAACCCGTAGTATTGGACAAGCAAATGTTGATGTTTGGGTTTCACCACATGGGTTGCATTGTCACAGTTTGTATACTGTCAGGTTGTTTGGTTGCAAATGCTTGCTTAAGGCAGTGAGATGGAGCGAACCTGCATCAATTCCCATATTCTAACTGCATGACTTTCTTCCAACCTTGATGCAAACCCGTAGTATTGGACAAGCAATGTTGATATTTGGGTTGCTCCACATGGGTTGCGTTGGCACAGTTTCGCACAACTTGTATACTGGCAGGTTGTTTGGTTGAAATTGCCTGCTTAGAAACAAAGTTGTGAGATGGTGCGAACCTGAATTCATTCCCATATTCTAACTGCATGTTTTTCTCCCAACCTTCGTGCAAACCAGTGGTATTGAACAAATACATGCTGATGTGTGGGTTGCACCACATGGGTTGCATAGTCTCAGTTTGTATACTGTCAGGTTGTTTGGTTGCAATTGCCTGCTTGAAGTATAGCAGTGAGATGGAGCGAACCTGCATCAATTCCCATATTCTAACTGCATGACTTTCTTCCAACCTTGATGCAAACCCGTAGTATTGGATAAGCAATGTTGATATCTGGGTTGCTCCACATGGGTTGCGTTGGCACAGTTTCGCACAACTTGTATACTGGCAGGTTGTTTGGTTGAAATTGCCTGCTTAGAAACAAAGTTGTGAGATGGTGCGAACCTGCATTCATTCCCATATTCTAATTGCACGTTTTTCTCCCAACCTTCGTGCAAACCAGTGGTATTGAACAAATACGTGCTGATGTTTGGGTTGCACCACATGGGTTTCATTGTCTCAGTTTGTATGCTGTCAGGTTGTTTGGTTGCAATTGCCTGCTTGAAGTATGGCATTGCAAGCTTAAAGTATAGCAGTGAGATGGAGCGAACCTGCATCAATTCCCATATTCTAACTGCATGACTTTCTTCCAACCTTGATGCAAACCCGTAGTATTGGACAAGCAATGTTGATATTTGGGTTGCTCCACATGGGTTGCGTTGGCACAGTTTCGCACAACTTGTATACTGGCAGGTTGTTTGGTTGAAATTGCCTGCTTAGAAATAAAGTTGTGAGATGGTGCGAACCTGCATTCATTCCCATATTCTAATTGCACGTTTTTCTCCCAACCTTCGTGCAAACCAGTGGTATTGAACAATTATGTGCTGATGTTCGGGTTGCACCACATGGGCACATGGGTTGCATTGTCTCAGTTTGTATACTGTCAGGTTGTTTGGTTGCAATTGCCTGCTTGAAGTATGGCAGTGAGATGGAGCGAACCTGCATCAATTCCCATATTCTAACTGCATGGCTTTCTTCCAACCTTGATGCAAACCCGTAGTATTGGACAAGCATGTTGAATATCTGGGTTTGCTCCACAAATGGGGTTTTGCGTGGCACAGTCTTTTCGCACACTTTGTATACTGCAGGTTTGTTTGGTTTGAAATTTGCCTGCTTAAAACAAAGTTTGTGAGATGGTGTCGAACTGCTTCATTCACCATATCCTAATTGCAACTTTTTCTTCCCAACCTTCGTGCAAAAACCAGTGGTATTGAACAAATACGTGCTGATGTTTTTGGGTGTGCAAACCAACATGGGCACATGGGTTGCATTGTCACAGTTTGTATACTGTCAGGTTGTTTGGTTGCAAATGCCTGCTTAAAGTATAGCAGTGAGATGGAGCGAACCTGCATCAATTCCCATTTTATAACTGCATGACTTTCTTCCAACCTTGATGCAAACCCGTAGTATTGGATAAGCAATGTTGATATCTGGGTTGCTCCACATGGGTTGCGTTGGCACAGTTTCGCACAACTTGTATACTGGCAGGTTGTTTGGTTGAAATTGCCTGCTTAGAAACAAAGTTGTGAGATGGTGCGAACCTGAATTCATTCCCATATTCTAATTGCATGTTTTTCTCCCAACCTTCGTGCAAACCAGTGGTATTGAACAAATACGTGCTGATGTTTGGGTTGCACCACATGGGTTTCATTGTCTCAGTTTGTATGCTGTCAGGTTGTTTGGTTGCAATTGGCTGCTTGAAGTATGGCATTGCAAGCTTAAAGTATAGCAGTGAGATGGAGCGAACCTGCATCAATTCCCATATTCTAACTGCATGACTTTCTTCCAACCTTGATGCAAACCCGAGGTATTGAACAAGCAATGTTGATATTTGGGTTGCTCCACATGGGTTGCGTTGGCACAGTTTCGCACAACTTGTATACTGGCAGGTTGTTTGGTTGAAATTGCTTGCTTAGAAATAAAGTTGTGAGATGGTGCGAACCTGCATTCATTCCCATATTCTAATTGCACGTTTTTCTCCCAACCTTCGTGCAAACCAGTGGTATTGAACAAATACGTGCTGATGTTTGGGTTGCACCACATGGGTTTCATTGTCTCAGTTTGTATGCTGTCAGGTTGTTTGGTTGCAATTGCCTGCTTGAAGTATGGCAGTGAGATGGAGCGAACCTGCATCAATTCCCATATTCTAACTGCATGACTTTCTTCCAACCTTGATGCAAACCAGTAGTATTGGACAAGCAAATGTTGATGTTTGGGTTCACCACATGGGTTGCATTGTCACAGTTTGTATACTGGTACTTGTAGGTTGTTAGGTTGCAATTGCCTGCTTAAAGTATAGCAGTGAGATGGAGCGAACCTGCATCAATTCCCATATTCTAACTGCATGACTTTCTTCCAACCTTGATGCAAACCCGTAGTATTGGACAGACTAGTGTGTATGTTTGGGTTGGACCACATGGGTTGCATTGTCGCAGTTTGATACAATTTGCATACTGGCAGGTTGTTTGGTTGTAACTGCCTGCTTAAAAATAAAGCTGTGACATTTGTGCGCACCTGCATTCATTCCCATATTCTAACTGCGTGAACTTCTTCCAACCTTCGTGCAAACCAGTGCTATTAAACAAATACGTGTTGATGTTTGGGTTACACCGCATGGGTTGCATTGTCACAGTTTGAATAGCGGTAGGTTGTTTCGTTGTATCTGCCTGCTTGAAGTACAGCAGTGAAATGGTATGAACCTCCATTATTACCCGCATTCCACCTGCATGATTGTCTTCCCACCTTTTGCAAACTAATGGTATTGGACAAACTAGTGTGTATGTTTGGGTTGGACCACATGGGTTGCATTGTCGCAATTTGATACAATTTGCATACTGGCAGGTTGTTTGGTTGTAACTGCCTGCTTAAAAAAAAAGCTGTGAGATGGTGCGCATCTGCATTCATTCCCATATTCTAACTGCATGAATTTTCTTCCAACCTTCGTGCAAACCAGTGGTACTGAACAAATACGTGTTGATGTTTGGGTTACACCACATGGGTTGCATTGTCACAGTTTGAATAGCGGTAGGTTGTTTCGTTGTATCTGCCTGCTTGAAGTATAGCAGTTAAATGGTATGAACCACATAATTACCCGCATTCCACCTGCATGATTGTCTTCCAACCTTTTGCAACCTAATGGTATTGGACAAACTAGTGTGTATGTTTGGGTTGGACCACATGGGTTGAATTGTCACAACTGGATACAATTTGCATACTGGCAGGTTGTTTGGTTGTAACTGCCTGCTTAAAAAAAAAAGCTGTGAGATGGTGCGCACCTGCATTCATTCCCATATTCTAACTGCATGAACTTCTTCCAACCTTCGTGCAAACCAGTGGTATTAAACAAATACGTGTTGATGTTTGGGTTACACCACATGGGTTGCATTGTCACAGTTTGAATAGCGGTAGGTTGTTTCGTTGTATCTGCCTGCTTGAAGTATAGCAGTTAAATGGTATGAACCACATAATTACCCGCATTCCACCTGCATGATTGTCTTCCCACCTTTTGCAAACTAATGGTATTGGACAAACTAGTGTGTATGTTTGGGCTGGACCACATGGGTTGCATAGTTGCAATTTGATACAATTTGCATACTGGCAGGTTGCTTGGTTGTAACTGCCTGCTTAAAAATAAAGCTGTGAGATGGTGCGCACCTGCATTACTTCCCATATTCTAAGTGCATGTTTTTTTTTCCAACCTTCGTACAAACCAGTGGTATTGAACAAATACGTGTTGATGTTTGGGTTGCACCACATGGGTTTCATTGTCTCAGTTTGTATACTGTCAGGTTGTTTGGTTGCAATTGCCTGCTTGAAGTATGGCAGTGAGATGGTGCGAACTGCGAACCTGCATTCATTCCCATATTCTAACTGCATGACTTTCGTCCAACCTTCGTGCAAACCAGTGATATTGGACAAACTATTGTTCATATGTATCAGGTTACTCTGTGTGTGCGCGTTACCCGTATTGTACTGTGCGTTGCATCATGCGCACACACCCGAAAGTGCACACGTGTTGATGGATGGGTTGCATCCAAAGGTGTTTTTTTCTTCGGAAAGTACATTTGTTATATATTGGTCGTTTATCATAATTGTTCATATAGTTGTTTATCTGCAAAGCATTGAGACTGATAGATGTTTCTTATGGTTAGTTTCTATATTCTATCTGCATCAGTTTCTCCCAGCCACATTGCAAACTAGTGATATTGTACAAACTAACCTTCAAATGCATGAGGTTTCTGACACATACCGGCCGATGCTAAAATGTTCATTCATTTTGTCTATAATCCTATACTGTACAATATATATATATATACATACATATATATATATATATGTTGCTTATTTATATTCTAACTATTGTTGTATTTTTGGAATTCTAACTGCATTTTCCCCGGGGACGAAATTGGTATGGATGCTATTATCTGGACGTCAATCCATATCCATGGATTCCTTTGGATCATATTCTAACTGCCGGTCGGCTATAGTAGTATATATTAAGCATCATTTCTGGTAACATCGCGATGACATCCTTAGACTTCAACCAGTTTTGAGCGTGGCAACGTGCAGTTCCTGCTTCAGGGTCATAGAAACGCTCCAGTAGCTGAATAGTCGTACTCTTGCCTCAGTGGCTCTTGGAGGGGAACTGCAAAGAAACATTGGGAATCACTGGAATGATTATTGTGGTGATGGTGATGGTGATGGTGATGATGATTGTGTTTTAGCAAGTGTACTAGCGCTATAATCACTATCACTCTTACTATGTTGCATCCCTTTGACAAACGGAATATGGTGCGTGCCAAGTTGCCACAACCGCTCTCTCCCACCAAGGCGATCCTGAGAGTAGTTGGGTTGTGGTAATCCCCTTGGTCTATGGCATTCATAATACGAAAAATTATGTAACATGATAATCCAGGGGAATTTGGGGGTACCGGGGTACCCTCTTCAAACAATGGCTAATAATGTGTTTGGGGGGTACCCTGGCCACCATGCCTCTGGCAGCCCTGAGACCTTTCCTGCCGAGTTGCTTCTGTCCCTTTTTCACTACAAAACTCAAATTCTTCAACACTGGCTGGTCGGGCCGCATGGGATACCTCAACGCTGGCCGACACCAAGGTGACTTAGACAAGATCCATGGAATCCAGTTTGAAGGGTCTTCCTATGTCATCTTGCATTACATCCCATAGCAATCAGCAAAAAATTATCGGGTACCTCGAGGGCCAACCAATTGTCGGCCGGGCCTGAAGCAAACAGATTTGAACTCCACGCTCTCAATGACCTCGAGCGGAGCGAGCGGAGCTGGCATCATGCTAGAGACATCCCGAGACCAAAATGGGGAGGTTAACGCTTAAATGGCTTAAATACCAACCAAAAATGTGCTAGGGCAACAACAACAGGAACTACAGCAACAGCTAACTTGGATTTGACAACCATGGGACTTGAAAGCAAGGTGAATTGGCAATCAACGAGCGCAAATTGTGGGAGTTTCTTCATTCAACCAATGAAAGTCCATACTCAAACAACCTAGGAGGAAACAATGCTGGACACACACGCACACACAAATCCAGTTTTTTCCTTTAACCTAACAGTGATTCACCACCCTCCACCCACAACTCAATCCCCGCCTGAAGTTCCTCCGGCAGAGGCGGCAGCGCAAAACCTTCAGGTTCGATGTCATGTGCCCTGCAATTGATCACCTGAGACGAATCCAGCCGACACGGTTGCGTTCAGGACGGCCTTGTGAGAAAACTCCAGGGAAGTGTTGAAACGTTGTGTCTGTAATGTCTCTCTCTCTCTCTCTCTTTCTCTCTCAAGATTAGGTCAAGTAAGAGTTTACCCATCATTTCCGCAACCAAACCCAGCCATGGCTTCTCCAACGTGGGGGTGGGTTCCAATTAGTAGATCATAATCATTCCCACTGGGGTGCATCCCAAATCTAAGTGGATTATAGTGGATTATGATATGTTGTGATATCTAGCTCAAGTTTGGACATTTTATGGTGCCTACATGTGCCTACCCAATCCCATTGCCATTCTTCAAATGACGTCCTACCAGTGATGTCGTTGCAGTTTATCCAGATGATCTCCCCATTCCATGAAGTCCCAGTTGAACAAAATGGTGACTACCCACAAAAACGCCTCCAGGCTCCTACACATCCCCACCGAACCTTAAATCCCTAAATCCATCCAAGTCCTCATTTTGGTGATGTGGCAGACCCAGTCATAAACCATTCCCAATTGGGGTTTATTCTTGGCTGTATCGGCTATATAGGCTTTACCCTTTACCTACCTATATATTTCCAGGATGATTTATAATAGTTGCTATGCTTCATGGATGGTTTTTAATTCCAGATAAGTCCACAAACACACACAAACACACACTGGTCTGGTTGTGAGTTCTGAGGTTAAATCCAAACTGGGGAGGTTCGAAGTTACACACACACACACCAATATTACTTGGCTTCCCCATACCTGACCCTTCAATGTTTACGTCACCGGTGCCTTCTTCATCCCCTTGGCAGATGCGATGGCCCGAGCCAGGACAGGTGCTTGTCCGCTGAACATGCTGATGCCGGAGACGCCAACCTGAGAGAAACCCTGGCTCAGCGGCAAATTACATTGGATTTATGTACCATGACCATTGAGGCAAAAACAGAAATATAAGATCATTTGGAGAAAAAAAACGGATACGATGTGTATATATATATATACAGTATATATACTAAAGATAGAGATAGATTGATTGATCGATACGGGACGGCCAATTCCAGGTGACCCAAACGTTCCTCAAATCACTTGGATCAAGGCAGGCCCAATCAATCTTCCACCAGAATTCCACCCCGATCCACTGCGAGGAGCTATCAGTGCGATCATCACCACCACCACATTTCTGGACTCCTCCAAGGGCGCCTCAGAAGGGGCGCAGCCCTGCGGCCCTGCAGCACATAAGTTCGATGTGATTCCCGCAGCCGTAGATTTTTGGAGGGGGGCCACAAATCGCCCCTATTCATCCATGATTCCATCCACTTGAAAGCGAAAGGCCGAAAATGAAAACCAAAAAAATAGAACAGTCAGTAATTCTACTAAGATCGTGGACATATTAATCGTTCCAACTTTGTGATTATTTGCGCGTTTGTTTTTTGAAAAAAACAAAAGAAATGTTTCCAAGATATCATCATCATCATCATCATCATCATCCCTCCCCAAAAAAATGAAAGCCAACTGGAAATCATACCGTCTCTCTGTCTATATATATATGTGTATAATAATAATGATAATAATAAAAATACTAAAAGTAGCAATAGCAATAGTAATAATAATAATAGTACTAGTAATAGCAACACTAATAACAATACTAACAATAATAATAATAAATAATAATAATTATATATCCTGAGTCATGGTAGAAAATTACAAACCATGAAACCAGCAGAACCCATGCAGAACTGGGCGGTTCCTACAGGGGCCCCGTCCAGATCCGCAACGACAAGAGTCGCCCTCCTTCATCAGCACGTGACCACCCAGCCAGAGTGTCAAAGCATAGAGCACGTTGTAGGCGAAATTCCTCAATTGAGCATCCTGCAAACTAACATAGATGTGGAAAAGCCAGAAATTGGAGATCAATTTCTTAGGGAAACCATGGGTTTTCCACATCTATGTCGGTTTACCAGAAGGTAAGGTTGGGCCAAGATTGGGCAAACGAGAGTTGAAGCCTCTCAGGAACCCTGGAACCCTAGCAAAATGCACGCTGGGAGCTTCTGTAGCTCTTACCGTTCTTACCCAATTAATTAGGTGTGTGCAAAATAGATCAAAATAGGGCATCTGATAATTATATAATATTATATGCGAAATAGGGCATCTGATAATCAAGTGGTTGAGATTTTGTTCAATTTGCACATAGCTGCTGCACCTCTTGGGTGCCTCACACTCGGCCAAAAGTAGCGCAACACTGAGCTATGCCGTTCTGACCAAAACATATTGTCTAAAGAAAGGAGGAGTCTAAGGCTGGCACAGAGATCGAAACCCCGGAGAAAATGTCCAAAAAACATGTTATCACTCTATTTTTCCATTCGTGCGGGTCACATTTTCAATTGCAAACCTTTTCTTTTGGCTGTCCTGTTGCCCACTCCTGCAAGGAACCGTAGTAGGCTAGATTAGGGGCTGCCTTTTCTCATTTTCCCGTGAATGAATTCTGGAATGTATTGCATGTTTACCTACAGTTGGAGTTGAGGATTGTGACCAGGCAACTATGACCCAGCCGACTTCTAGTTCTTCACAGCACTTACTAAACACCCCCTTCAAGTTATAGATCACTATTTGCCACTGGCCATCATGAAAATTGCAAAAAAAAAATGGAAGGGTTTTTTTTGATCACTGGGCCTAAGGGCCTGAAATTGACCCATATCTTGATGGTCTTCCTTTTGGTTCAGGACAGTATCTCATCCTGATACCGAAATATGCCAATCCCCATCCCACATCTCAATAGATTGTTGAAGGGAAAATCTTGGCAGGAAATTACTACTACAGTAAATCGATTGGGCCTTCTTGTCGTTTTTCCTATGATCCGATTCTGCGAACACAGGTAAATGTTCGAACTAAATAGGCCATCTATACCATATCATAGCTATGTTAGGTTACCGAAGGGTAGACATGGCAAACCTATATCAAGAGTCCTATGTAGCACGTGGGGTACAACACCAACAATATTGGAACTATGCTAGGGATATACCTTCTTGTAATCTCACATACAAGTAGCTGTTGAACATTGCCCATTTATAGTGGATGATTTAACTATCAAAAAATGATGATGTTCCATCGCATTCCATAGCTATGTTAAATTACCAGAGGATACCTTTGCAGTTTTTGTATACAATCCCAATACTAAATGGTGGTTTCAAAAATGGGGGTACCCCAAAATCATCATTGTTTTCGGATTTTCCATTGTAAACCATCCATTTTGGAGTTCCAGGACGAGAAAACCCTCACCACTGGTCCCCTGCACAACTTCGTCTCAGCTGCAAGCCCCCCCAGGCGATCCCAATCTTCACACCCGATCCTCGGTGCCATGTAGTGCACAAACCATTTGTGCAGCTAAAATATACTTGTATACGTATATATATATATATATTGTATGTATCTGTATAATATATATATATATGTGTGTGTGTGTGCATGTGTCTGCATATGTATATATATATATTATCATACATGTCAGCACCTTGAATGGTATAGGTATGGATCGTGTTCCAATGTTGGATATTCTCTATTGAGTCTCTTTTGGTATGAAATTGGGTTTTAAAAAATACTGAGGTTCAAACTCTGCGAATTTGCCCATGTTCCACCACAAACATAAATCAAATTGACCATAATATGTTTTTAAGAGAAAAACTCCACAACATGAATCTTCCAACAAACTCTTCACAAAAAACAAAAACCTCATGGTCTATCTCCATATAATTATTATGATTCCCTTCGGCCACTCAATCATGAAATGACATTATCAAGGTTCGAAGAAAACACAAACAAAAACTGCGAGAAGATTGGTACCCTCCGGCAGTGGCAATGGAAAATAACCCATGTGAGCTGACTTTTCCAGTGGAACCTCTATTTAAAATTTAGTTCGGGGATTTCCGGTAGCAATTATGCACATTCAGTTGGGTCCTGCACCCATTCAATATGATTCCCACCATTTTTGTTGGTTGAATAATTATGGTTAATTAAATGAAGGATGATTCCATGAATATGTCATTAAGATTCCAGTCATACATGAGTGCCCCTGAATATAAATCAACATGCCATGAATATTCCAGTTGTGGCTACTGGTGGTGTTGATATTCCATTTATCTTCCATTGATAGTGCATTTGTATCCCACGAATATACCAGTTCTCTCTCATTCTTGGTTTGAGTACCTCATATGTAATCTGGCCGAATTACCCTCCGGTAATTTAACATAGCTATTGAAAATTGCCATTTATAGTGGATTTACCAATTGAAAATTGTGATCTTCCATAGTTATGTTAGTTTACCAGAGGGTATATATAATAATTCGCTAACCTGAACAAATATATAGTTGAAATGTGCGGCCATTCGGGGATGATGATTCTCCGAATCCGAACCATCATTCCAGTGACGTCACGTGGTGAGGTCATTGTAATTCAACCATGGTTTCACGGGGTGTTGAATATGAATAGGGGATGGGATTTTTCTATGTCATACACACACACACATATATATATATATATATACATGCGAGATATATCCCAATATATCCTATATACCCATTGATATTGTTTATGGAATCATTGATGTAGGGGGAACGGGGGAAGGGACTAGTATTCCATTCATATTCCGATTCTTCTATTTGTATGCAATTTCTCCCTCATTGTAGAACTCAGATTTATAGTGAATTCTTCACACATGAATATGTAATTAATATTCCATTATAATCGAAGGAAGTTTGGAAGTGAAACTTCCGACAATATGGACAGTTGAAAAGCAGAGGTGAGAAGAGTCAGAAGAGAAAAGATCAGAAGAAAGAAGAGGTAGATGCGCGAAAAGATAGGAAAGTCGCGACCCACTGTGTTTTTCCAATGATTTGTGGCTCCGGAGGGTCGAAAAGTAGGCTCGCTAAGCGGCGGGTGCGGAGCCAGCTGGCCAGATGAGACATGAAAAAGTGCACGCCGTTGTGGCGCGAAGCACATTTCCAAGTCAAAATGGACAAAACACTAGAGGAGCGGACCACTTTTGGAAGTTGAGATGTCGAAAAAGTGCACGCCGTTGTGGCGCGAAGCACATTTTGAAGTCAAAATGTACAAAACACACCATGGTCGGACCACTTTTGGAAGTTGCGATGTCGAAAAAGTGCACGCCGTTGTGGCGCGAAGCACATTTTGAAGTCAAAATGTGCAAAACACATCGGACGACTTTTGGAAGTTGCGATGTCGAAAAAGTGCACGCCGTTGTGGCGCGAAGCACATTTGGAAGTCAAAATGTACAAAACACACCAATGTCGGACCACTTTTGGAAGTTCCGATGTCGAAAAAGTGCACGCCGTTGTGGCGCGAAGCACATTTCGAAGTCAAAATGTGCAAAACACCACATGTTCGCGCCACTTTTGGAGGTTCGGATGTTGAAAAAGTGCACGCTGTTGTGGCGCGAAGCACATTTCGAAGTCAAAAGTGTAAAAAACTGAGGGTTTTGAGCCTTTTTTGACATTAAGATGTCGAAAAAGTAGATACTGATTAACTTAACTAACTTGACTAACTGAACTAACTTCACTAACTTAACTACCCTAACTTCGACGACAACAGCACAACTACAACTACAACTACAACTACAATCTACAATCTACAACTACAAACACAACTTCACAACAACTACAACTACAAATAGAACTCCAACAACTACAGCTACAACAACAACAACAACTACTACTACTACTACTACAACTACTACAACTACAACTACAACTACAACAACAGCAACAACAACAACTACTACTACTACAACTACAACTACACTACACAACAACTACAACTACACTACACAACAACTACAACTACACTACACAACAACTACAACTACACAACAACTACAGCTACAACTACAACAACTACAACTACAACTACAACAACTACAACTACAACTACAACAACTACAACTACACAACAACTACAACTACAAAACAACTACAGCTACAACTATATGACTGCAACTACACTACACTAATTGCATTACACCACAACTACAACTCCACTACGCTACAGCTACAAACTACAGTTGCAGTACATCACACTACATCCAGCAGTTGTGGGTGAGGTGACCACTGCAACCATTGCAACCATTCCAGCAAACACAACTCCAACCACCTTTCGGTCAATCAGTGGATTCGCTCTGCCATCCGTGATTCACAACAACCAACGTCTCCTATAGGTTTCCTATTCTGAAACTTCCGCCACCGCCTTGTGCGGTACTACTGGTAACTTATATGGCTTTAGTATGTTTTAGTACCTTACATAAGTGCCACCAAGTACACATTCATATTCCATTCATATTCCAAAGGTACCCCAAAACCTCAATATGTTTAAGGAAATCAGGTAGTACACCTTGATAAACCATGGGACCCCATCCCCACCCCCACCCCATCCATGGCCCGAGGCGCGAATGCCGCCCATCTTGGCCCTAGTGAGCTCCCGCTCGAAGCGCCGCATGGCGCTGGCTTCGCCACCGAAGGCCACCACGGTACGGATGGCCATCAGCGACTCCTCCGCCACCGTGGACCTCGGGATGGGAGGCGACTTTTCTGACGAAGTGGGCGATTCAGGATGATTTTGGGGGGTTCACTTCGAAAATATACCTGAAATTGCAAGTTTTTTCGGAATGCAGCCTGCCAAAAGTGGTAAGCTTGGGGGCAAAAATGAACCAAGATAGTGGGTTGAACCACAAAAACATGGGGGATTCCCCCGTAAATAGCCCTAAGTTATGGCGATTTCAAACATGATGGTTAACACGACTTAAGCTGATGATTCCTTACTGTTTCAGCATAATATGGGTTTGGCAGTAGGGTTTGTCCGAATACACACTATTTGAGCAAGAAATGATTGAAAGTAGAAGCAACCAGCCACAAGGGGAGTCTGACGCAAAAAAAAACGGCTTAAGCCAACTGATTAAAAGCTAGGATAGATCCACTTCTTATTTGGGGACGATGGTGAGGGAGTTTGCCATGGATTTGTTCGTTTTAGTAGAGGATAGTTTGGAGGCATGTCACATCATATCACACATATATCACATGTCACCCTATGTAATTTGTAAAGCGCCATTGCAATTGTCCAAAAAATAGAGATATATTGGATTTCAAACCCATGTGGCTGCGGGCAAAAAACTGGAAAATGGGTGGGGGGGTTCAGTTTTAGCAAAGATCTTCATCTTAAAACCAGGTTGACTGATTACGTAAGTGAGATGTTCAACCATCATCCCAAAAGAGTCCCCCTGGGGCGACAATGAGCCGCCCCAACGAAAGAACCACGTCACGCTCGTTGGAAGTCTTCCGCTTGCTGGGAGTACTGTTCCTCGATCTCCTGCCATAAACCATCCCCACTGGGTGGGGAAAACATGATTAACCCCCAAATGGTAGGTTCATCATTGAGTGTGGAAGATATGAAACGCTTCTTCGTACACGTTGTGGTGGAGCGGGGGGCTGCCCTATTGTCAAAAGCTGTCCTTCCCCAAGCGATGTCCCGCGAAGACCAAGAATGGCGTCACGGCACAGGCTGCTAAGGACAGCTGCCAGCTCTTTACAGAAGCCTCAGCAATACGGGCAATGGGAACCATGCCATTTGCCATTGGATGCACCAAAAGGTTGGATGTTTCATACTTTTCATATACTTTCAGCATCTTGTCACTATTACAAGCGAAATCTTGAAATACATGCAGGCACTGGGCACCATTGGGTTCAACAGTCTTTTATTTCGGGAAGTGCCATTTCAAACTGGAACTAGTTGGGGGACCCCCTCTTACGGAGTACTTATTTGGAAACTGGGACTTTCATCAAGAGCGAACATCGCGAGCAGCTCCGCTGCCATCTGGGCATCCCAACTAAAGTGATGCCCGCGAAAAACTGTCCCGCACAGCTGATGAGGAAGCCTCAGTGGCAAACTCTGACAGATCTGACAGCCAGATCTAACAGCCAGTCTTAACATATCACTACAACAAAAACTGCTTGGCGGATGGTGGTTGAGCTACTCAGGAAAAATCAGCCGATGGGATCAACATGGATCCATATCCTGTCCCCCCCAGGCATAGAAAACCACCTAGCCGTGACTGAGCTTAGCCTCTTGGATACGAATCTTGGACCAATGATGCCGGAGTCGCTTGCGCCAAGTGACCCAAACCAGCAGACATGAAAATATAGAGAGCCTCAGGTCCAGCACTTAAGGATGCTCCCTTGACGGAATAAAGAGCATGGGAAACTTTGCAGGAAATCGTATGGAAGGGTGTCTTCTGGGATTTTATGCATCCAATTCTGGGATTTCTGAGGTTAGCAAGTCGTGTTTATTACCGTCGACTTCTGACCAAAGGAGAACAACTCGGCACGCCATTTGTTTCCACACCCTTTGTTTCCAGATATGACTTCAAGATTCGGCCACAAACAAACGATAACCATGCTGGTAATGGTAGCAAGATCAAACGTATTCTTACTTACTACCAATACTGCTGATAATATCTACCAGTAATATATAGTAATATATGGAAATATATGCTAATAATACAGAATATTCGCAATGCACTACTAATAATATACTGTCAATACGTGTCAATAGACATCAAGAAACTATATTAATATATATATAATCAATAATATTGATGGCTAATGAATACTAATGACATGTCCAAGCAGCTCCAATGTCCGCCTGCAATCGGGCAGCTAAACCTGCGAAAGCTCAACAGGGCGATGTGTGAACACGCGAAACATGTTGGAGTTTAACTTCCAAACAACCAAAATTCGCACCCTCTGGTTATGTAACACAGCTACGGACCCATCGCCCATTTATAGATGATTTCGGCGTAATGGAGTTCCTGCAGATTTTCGGAACAAAAAAAAACCCTTGGAACTGTGCTAAACTAGTTGGGGTGGCCCAAACGAGTGATAGCTCATACAAATTCCACAATTCCAAGTGGTAATCTTGATAAACTGGAGTATTATGAGTCCTGGGTTTCAAAAAATGGAGTCTGCACCAATGTGCCCAGGGGGGGCTTGTGATTTTACGGGTCAACATACTGGTCCACCGCAGTGGCCCCAATCGAAGAAGACCACAAGGCCATCATTGAGTCTCGGCGCTCCTTCAAAAACTGGGGTGCCCTTGGGAAAAACCAGTGATTTATATGATTTACCCTCTGGTAAACTAACATAACTATGGAAAATGACAATTTTTAATGGGTAAATCCACTATAAATTGTCATGTTCAATAGCTATGTTAAATTACCAGAGGGTATTCATCAATATTCATCAATATTCATCATGGTTCACTTCAAATGGTCCAGTTTGGAACATCTCCCATTGATCAGCTGCCATCCTCGGGCTTCAGCGGCCCGGACCTGCAGAATCATTCGCGTCGTACCAAGGAACATCCTCAGGGGCGGGTGCGGCCGACTAAGGCGAACGAGCATGGTAAGCTCCATTAAGCTCCTCAACTCAGGTTCTCCTGTGGCTTCCAAGCATGAACTCATCAATAGCTGATGATTGGGTCTGGTGACCCATCAAAGCCCATCCCAACTGCTCCCCCAAAGGTGACTTTTTTGGGCCCCATCCCCAGCCCATGTCAGGGGGCCAAGGTCATCAACTGCTTGATGAACTTGATGTGCCATCGGCTGGCCTGAGCCATAAGCGTCATCATCTTCAAACGTTACCAGTTACTCTCTGGTGATCAAACATAGCAATTGAAAATCCCTAACTTCTAGATGATGTTCCCATTAAAAGCACCATTCATAGGAAATTTCGCATTGCCACATTTGATCACCGGAGGAGTATAGAAAAATTGGTCAAGTAGATCCAGGTGGCATGCGTCATCTTCATCTTTAGCATAGATGCCTTCTCGTGCTTTTGATTATGGGCAATCAATGAATACAATATAATATACCAAAGACATCCATAGACTGTACATTACCTGGCAGCTGGCTTCAAACCGTCACAAAAAAATATTCAGTGGAGACCATTATCCATTTATCCATGAATGAAAATAAGGTTGAAAATTCATGAACAAATCAAGAGTCAAAACCACCAGCCAGTTGTGACACAAACACAATATAATCATATATGCATAGCTAGAACTCCACTGGCCCGGTGTTGGATGATTAACCCTGCATTTTATGGGTCAAATGCCCGCAAATAAGGTCAATTGGCTTGCATGTATAGTCATCCTGGAGAAGATAGAAAAGGGACGTTAAAAACTATATAATCACTAAACTTCGAATATGTTTGAAGAATTCCATATTCCATCTAATTCAAAATGATAATTATACCAGTTGTTATATATATATAAAATACACACAATATAAATACAGTTAAAAAAAACATTTTATATATATATATATTATATTAAAATAAATAAATAAATATATATATATGGCACCACTTATACATATCTGTGTGCCTGTCCTACAGGCTGACCTATTCATCCTATCCACCTGGCACTCATGGTTCCAGGGGCCGTCTACGTCCACACCGCGCCTGTTTGGCTGCGGACCAATGCATGCACCACTGCCACCACCAGGCTAGCAGGAATTGAGCCACTGCCAGGATACCTAGGAGATCTGGGTGGCCTTCAGTAGCTACCGCCTGGTAGTTGAACAAAGCAGCTTGCTGCTTTCAACCCAGTCCTTTCAACCCAGTCGAAAGCTCAAAGGATATCGGCCAAGTGGGGGTTGATGCCCATAGTGGGATGTCGAACAAGCACTAGATGAACCTGGCATTTGAACAGTAGACATGTCTCAAAAAATTGACAACATCTGTGACAAGTAGCCCGTTTTGGGATGTTTCAGGGCAAGCCCCAAGGGCCCCAAAGTGAAATGATCATAAATCCGAGAACCCAGGGAGTTATTGTTCAATGTGGATGCCTCTGTTGGATCATCCATAGCTGCTATAGCTCCATTGTGTCCTTCCATGGCAAGGGGCCGATCTTCCACAATACGGGCGTCATCGTCTCCAGCAGATTGGATGGATCCGAAGTGGTTAACAAACCAATGCTGTCCTGAGCTGTGGGCAACTCAACAAAGAGCCTTGGGGAAAACTTGGAATGCCGGGGTTTACGGAACACACTTGGATCACGTGGTTCCGAAAGAAATGATCCACTATTAATGGTGGTTGTTCCACACCTTGTTCATTGGAGCGTGATATGCAAGAGACCTGGTTACCGGTTGGTAAACTGACACGGCAGTGGAAAGTGCCGCATTTCAAGATCAAGTTTCCCTCTGGAAATGGAGGATTTTTCGTTGCTACGCTGCATTTGTGGACGGGAGATGATAAGGAGATGATAAGTGATTGGTCTTCTTAACTTTTCTTGCAACCACGCGTCTGCCGTGAACACAGCGATCAAGGGGGTCGAAACACCCTGTGCCAGCGCCAAAATGCCTGGATCAATTTTGGCAAAGGCGGCCTATCCTATGCGAAGCTCAATTCGTAGCTGCAACTGGCTTCCAACTTTTTGGGAAAATCATGGAAAATCGATACCAGATGATACCAGCCATAGCTCCTTCGAATCGCCCTTCCATTCACCACCAACGCTGGCCCCACGCCTCCCACCACCAAACTCAGTTTTTCCGCCCAGGTGGTTTCACTCAAGACCTCCATGTTACTGGGCCTCAGGAAACGGAATGAGAACGATGGGACCTTGCGCAGCTCTCATTTATGCTTAAACTGTGAAACCAGACTTGAGTAAAACATTAGATTCATTAGATATCATGAAAATTCATGAAATATCATTTTATGTAACGGAATATCCAACAAACAAAACATCCAACACAGGACCGCCGAAAGAGTCATGAATGTTTTCTCGTGCGACTCTGGGTCGCTACCCAAAGAAATAGCCAGAAAATGCGAGACAAAAAGTCCCAAAATAAAGTCGAGTCCAGCCATTAAATGAAACATCGGTAACATTCAGTTCCATAATGGACTGTGATGATCCCCAATATCTATAATATATAGTTATTAGATGTTATTAGTAATAATATAGTACAATAGCCCTACATAATCATCAACCAACAGGGGTTTAGCAACCACTGCTCAGTTGTGGCAGTGGAAAACCCCCTTTAGAATCAGCTTTTACGGTGAAAAATTGACCTGACAGGACTGAGTGAACATTCTTTATGGGCAGGGGCAGAGGCCCATTGGTCATGGTATATCATATATATATAATTATATAATTATATATCATGTGAACTTAAAAATTCCTACCAGCATGCTTTACACCTGAGTACTTGCTATTGTTATGGTTATCGCTTTTTGGGGGGCCCTATCGCTTTCCAGAGTTTTGTGGAAATCAGCATGTTCGAGATCCAACATGAAGCCAAAATCCATTCCTAAACAGGCTCGGAAATGGATCGAGCAGTTGTTTTGTTGGTTTCAGGATGCTTCAGGTGCTTCGGCAACACTTCATGATCCTTTCGTGTTGCATTCATTCGCATGCATTGTCCTTCATTTTCCTTTCATTTGCATCTTCCTTTCATTGTGCATTCGTTTCCTTGCATTTTCCTTTCATGTTCCTTTCATTGGTATTCATTTCCATTCCTTTTGGTTTCATCTTCCTTCCATTTTCATTCCAATGTGCATTCATGTCCTCTCATCTTCCTTTCATTTGCACGCATGTTCCTTTCATTTTGCATTCATGTCCTTTCATTTCCTTTCTAAAGTGGAAATGGCTCTGTCTATGGCTTGGCCAGGAACCTCAGGAAACCGAGTGCAACAAATGGTTATCGCGAAGTTATCGCTAAGGTTATCGCTAAATAACCCCTCCAACATCTATAACATCTGACATTGTTCGAAGGAAATTTGCCACAAAACGACAGAGGAAGAAAGAGAGTGAGCAAGTTGGATGCCAAATGCTATCGTAACTGCAGGAAACAGGGCACCACAGGTTGAATTTCCCTCATCGGTTTTGCCCGCTCTGTGAATGTGCACAACAGTATTTGCTTGGTTTACGCCAAGTTTAATGGACTGTCGTGTATGGTCCCAGGTTATCGCCTTTGGGGAGGGCCCTATCGGGCCCTATCGCTTTACAGTGTTTCGTGAGTTTCGTGCACATCTCCGACAAAAATTGGAACTGATGCAATACATTGCTACGTAGTCTTCAACCAATTTCACCGTGGCTATGAACAAAAATCCCCCAATGGACCGTGGTTTTTCCGCATGTTACATCCCCATCCCCAATTATCCCAGTGGATCCCCAGTTCTTTGGGATGCCTGGACGCCGTTTAAACGCCGTTTAAGGCACTGGGTGGTGACGCGATCCGCGGCGTCATGTTCCTGCGACCATGAACAGCATCTGGTGGGTGTTTTTTTGGGTGTTTTTTGGGGGTTCCTAAAATGGGGGTACCCCAAGCGAGCAGCTGGGATGGTTTATTTATGTTTATTTCATGGAAAATCCTGCAAAAATGGGATGAGAACTGGGGGTACCCCCATTTTAGAACACCCCCCTATTGCCATAGACTGGCGAGGCTGGTAAAATCTAGTGGGATCAACGGTCCAATCATCTCAGTCGGGATCAGCTCATCTCAAGAATCCTGTCCCCTTAATCAGCCCAGAAGGAAACCTGCCTTTTTGGCCTGGCTGGAAAACCCGGGGTAGTCCCAAGCAACCCCGTTTGTCTGTCAGAATCCTTCTATTCAAATGGCCACTGTGGTGTGCCCGAGTGCTCCTCATTTCAAACAAACCCATGAAAAATATCTGCTCTAGACCTTGACAACAAACATGTACCGCAAGAATTTGGAAATGTTCAAATCCTTAAGTTATAATTTATAATTTAAAGAGTAATTGTCCAAGTGTATCCAAGTGTTGTAACTAGGTTGCAATTAGGTTGTATCCCTAGAATGACCTTCTCCAGTCCCGTGCGCCTTCTCTCCGTCTTTGCCGACCGCTTCTGGGTCGTCTTGCTCAGCTGCCTGGCATCCAATCAAACATGGCAATGGAAAATCCAAGCTATATATTTACATATATATGAATATACAGTCAAACGACAAACTCATGCCTAACTCATGCCTGGGTCAAAACTTGCTAGTAAATCACCATGGAATCGCTGTTTCAAGAAACTCATGCCTAAGTCATGCCCAAATCTTAAAACACCATGGAATCGCGTATGTATAAGAAGAATGTTTCCACACTTGGGAAAATCAAAAGTTCGCAAGAATCCGTCTACAGTTGCATTCTACCGTTCATGTTTCTGGGGTTGAGAAATACTTGCCGCTTCGGTCCGCTGGCTTTTTTCGCTTTGCTGACTCTTTTCGCTCTGCCATCCGTGATTCACAACAACCAACCTCTCCTATAGGTTTCCCATTTTTGAAACCACGACGTGCCGAACGACGTCCAAACGACGTAGCAAACGACGTCAAAAAATAACAAGAAAGGCTCTCTGCCCACCCGCCTGCGGAACCACATAAGAAACTAAAGCCGACACGAAGACACAACAATGACCCTTCTCACCTCCATCTCAAGCAACACGCTGAAGTGCCACAATGCCGCGTTGAGCACGCAGTGAAAAGTGAAAATGGCTTCCGCAGCACACTGGAAAGAAAAAGATAGAAACACCAACTCATCACTACACTCACATCCAGTTTGACTTGGTATGGAAAAGGTTACTCTTGATGCTAAACACAACCTAAACGCAAGATTTATTAGCAATATGGAAAAGGTACTCTTGATGCTAAACACAACCTAAACGCAAGATTTATTAACAATATGGAAAAGGTACCCTTGATGCTAAACACAACCTAAACGCAAGATTTATTAACAAAAACTATTCCAAAGACCAAATCCAACAAAACATTGCAATTCCTATGCGTTTTACTAAAAAGGCACGACTTTTCAAATCAAGTGCTCCCCAGCTATCTACGATGATTTCCAAATTTTAGGCACGACTTTAGCATTCCACTGTATATATATATATATATAGGAGAGTTCTCCATTTGGCGTTCATTTTCATTCAAGCTAGGGGGAGGTGCACCTCCCCCCCCCCAACCCTTGCTCCAAGCCCGCTCAAGCTAGAAGTGGCTGCACCACCCCCCCCTCCAGCCTTGCTAGTATCATCTTCCTGCACAACGCACCATCCCCTACCTCAAAGCCTAAATATCCACCACCCCCAGCTTACCTTCAGACCATGGGAGATGCACCACCCCCCCCAGCTGTTCCCATTCCATGGGGGGGGGGTGCACCACCCCCCTCCCCCAGCTGTGCCCATCCAAGGTTGGGGGGGGTCACAAACCACGTGCCATTGACGGTTGGCGTCGATTTGCCGGCACCACTTCTTGTGTCAGTATAAGACAAGGGTGGATGGGTTAAGGTTGTCCTCGCTACTGTAGCTGTCCCAGAACCTGACATCTCCTTATTTGCATACTGCGTAGGATTTATCTCCGGCCAGCCAAACCCCCCGGCCTCAATCGCTCCATCAGCCGGATCTTTTCCAACAGCTCCATCGGCCTCATCCTCCAGCGGCCTCATCGGCTCCATCAGCCTGATCGGCCTCATCGGCTCCAGCGGCCTCATCGGCCTCATTGGCTCCAGCGGCCTCATCGGCCTCATCGGCTCCATCGGCCTCATCGGCCTCATCGGCCGCATCGGCGCCAGCGGCTCCAGCAGCCTCATCGGCTCCGGCGGCTCCATCGGCCTCATCGGCCTCATCGGCCTCATCGGCTCCATCGGCCTCATCGGCCTCATCGGCCGCATCGGCCTCATCGGCTCCATCGGCTTCATCAGCCTCCATCGGCCTCATCGGCCTCATCGGCTCCATCGGCCTCATCGGCCTCATCGGCTCCATCGGCCGCATCGGCTCCAGCAGCTCCATCGGCCTCATCGGCCTCATCGGCCTCATCGGCTCCATCGGCCTCATCGGCCTCAGCGGCTCCATCGGCCTCATCGGCCTCATCGGCCTCATCGGCTCCATCGGCCTCATCGGCTCCATCGGCCTCATCGGCTCCAGCGGCTCCATCGGCTCCAGTGGCTCCATCGGCTCCATCGGCCTCATCGGCCTCATCGGCCTCATCGGCCTCATCGGCCTCATCGGCGCCATCGGCCTCATCGGCTCCATCGGCCTCATCGGCTCCATCGGCCTCATCGGCCTCCTCGGCCTCATCGGCCTCATCGGCTCCATCGGCTCCAGCGGCTCCATCGGCTCCATCGGCTCCATCGGCCTCATCGGCCTCCTCGGCCTCATCGGCTCCAGCGGCTCCATCGGCTCCAGCGGCTCCATCGGCTCCATCGGCCTCATCGGCCTCATCGGCCTCATCGGCCTCATCGGCCTCATCGGCGCCATCGGCCTCATCGGCTCCATCGGCCTCATCGGCTCCATCGGCCTCATCGGCCTCCTCGGCCTCATCGGCCTCATCGGCTCCAGCGGCTCCAGCGGCTCCATCGGCTCCAGCGGCTCCATCGGCTTCATCGGCCTCATCGGCCTCATCGGCCTCATCGGCTCCAGCGGCTCCATCGGCTCCATCGGCTCCAGCAGTTAACGGCTCCATCGGCATGTCTTTCTGGAAAGCCCATTATATGCCCTGAAGCAGGCGGAATCAGTTGCGTCCATTTTGCGCCTATGGTTCGCTTCGCTGCCTTTTGATTAGTATTGATCCATAGCCTCTTGGCTTGCGATATAGCCTCCAAGTGTCGAACGTACGGGTACACCACCCCCCCCCCACCTCCACCCCTTCAAGGGGAGAGATCTTTTGATCCGTTTCGTTTCGCTTCTTTTCCTTTGTGCCTTGTTATTGTTGTTCTCGTTGTTGTTCTTCCTTCTTCTTCTTGTTCTTGTGTCTGGTGTCGTCTGTCTTGTATTGTGCCTTAAACATTACCCCACATAAATTTCCTAAGGCTGGTGGGGGGCATGGGGGGGAGGGCGCAGCGCCTCCCCCCAAAGAACACAGGAAGAACAGCGTTCTGGTTTTGATCCGTTTCCTTTCTGTTCTTTTCCTTTGTGCCGTGTTATTGTTGTTCTCGTCGTTGTTCTTCCTTCTTCTTTCTGTTGTTGTCTCTGGTGTCGTCGTTTTTGTTTTCCGCCTTTAACATTAATTATCCCACATAAATGTCGTAAGGCTGTTGGGGGGCATGGGGGAGGCGCTGCACCCTAAACCTACTCCGCAAAAACTACTGGTTTGTGGTCCCCTTGCTGTCTTTGTTGCATTTGTTTTCGGCCCAGTTAGATTTGCATTCATGGACATGCGTTGACAATGACGGCTGTTGGTTTCCATTTCGGTCGGCCACTACAAAGTTCCTTGCCCAAAGCGATGCAGCAAATGTATTGCCTGGTTATTCCACACAGTGTGGCTGCAGGCATCGCAATCTTCAAGCTTCGCAGCTTCACTTCTTCCTTGGATCAAGGCCCTTGTGTTTGCAGAGTCGCACTGGAAGATAGGATTCGTAGGTGAAGTGTCTATCGCGTCAGTAAGGGGACGCAAGTACGAAAATTGCACTATGTTATTGACTATGTTCCTGCAAGTAAGCGTGCTACCTGTGCTTTGGGTAGTAGTCACAGACGGAACCCCAAAAAAGAAGCAACTTTTCTGGAGGAGAGACAGGAAAGATATCTGTCTTGATCAGTATTGGGGACATTTTGTGTGTTGCAAAGCAAATGGGAAGAAA